CCAATCATCTACTGCAGAGTGTAGGTGTATAAAGTATACGCATTAAACAAAATTAAAATACAAGATGATAATGGTGATAATTTTCAGGGTTCAATTATCACAAGCCAGCGATTTTCTCGGCGGATTTTAAAAGAATTTGATTTCTATTTTTTTTTTTCAATCATTATATGTTTTCGGCTGAGCTTTATTTTAACTTTCTCTTCATCTTTTTACCTCTACGTCTTATACCTTAAATGAGTAAACATTACACTATAAATTTACACTATAAATTTACAAATAGGAAGCCTACTTTTTTTAATATAGATTGGAATAGAAAATTGTTTTTTTAAAAGTTTTATATTTATAATACTAATATCGGATTTACCATTTATGAGTAACTAATATAACATTTTAATTTTTCGGGCCGGAAAAGTATTATAAATTCATTTTAAATCCTTCAAGGAAATCGCTGCTTAATGGATCGCTCTGTATAGTGAGCTACTCTCTTCGATAGCCGCGGAGTTTTTCATAGTTTTATGGTAAAAATAGTATCAGATTATTTAATGATATAATTTGCAATTTAATATTATCTTTAAAAATGATCTTTGCAATTCGATAAACTTGTTTAACGAATCAATATAGAATGACAAATAGGTACGTATATTATAATTCAATTTTTTCGTATTTTTAAAAATGAGAAGTGGATACACGGAGTGTATTTCTCCAGTACAATATTCGTTTTACCATTTCTATTATGTATTGGTATACTGTATAGTGTACCTAGTACTAAGTAAATTTGTTGACTTTTCGGTTTGACCTAAAGGGACAGCGAATATTTCGGTCAAAAACGGATACGCCCAACGTTTTGTTTTACATGCACTACCCCCAACGAATCCATAATAATGTGCAGATATTTGGTGGAAATCGTTTCGTTTTTTTTCTACGACCAACTTTTCTCCAGCTACTTCCTAGTCGTTTTATAGATAGGTACATTAATTTTTAATAGCTCAAGTTCTATAGTATAACTTCTTATTCGTAGCACGAATATACCTTTCTGTATCTACCTATAACAGCGTTAACATGGAGGTAATAAGTTTTCAAATTTCACGATCATTGTGTAAGACTTCCATTATATCGACAAGTAATGTAATATCTTCCACGAGTCAATCATTTATGTTAAAATCGATCGAATTTTTTGAAATAGAGAGAAAGTGTACGATAATATATTTCTTTGGTCCCAGGGTAGAAGGACTCAAGTCAATGGTTATATTTTTGTTTTTTTTATATAATTTTGTCTTGTGGATTTGTTCCCATTTATTTTTGGTTTAAATAGCTACTTAGTGTGAGTAATGTACTGGTAATATATTTACAAATGTGTTACGGACTCTGTCCTTCACGTGTAAAGTTTGTTAATTATAAATTGAGAATTTCACGTGACAAGATATGAAATCGATCGTCACATTAAGTATACGCACGTTAGGGGATTATGAACAGCACTCTAACCCGCCTCCTCTGGTTTCACCACTGGCGATTAACAAAATACATTTCCATGTTTGGAGAGGAGAACAGATGTATAACAAACCTATATGACTGTATTATATTCGACGAGAGACACGTAGAAATTACATTTTTGAAATCGAAATCTACCTGCAAGAGTTAGAGGGGGAGGGTGTATAAACGGCGACTTCGCACGACACAATACCTACGCAGGCCGCGCTTAAAAACGCGTCCTCTTTACCGCAATATGCGTACTCCGCAGTTTGGGAACATCACTGCGCAAAATAGTTTATAGGAATCGCAGTACCCTTTGCCATTTCGGGTCGACTTGAACCCGGTAATAAATAGGCGCCCGATCTCGGGGCAAAAAAATAAAAAAATATATATAATATAATATTACATTAAACTCCGCGATACCGTCCCCGGGAAAACAAAATCTTTTCGAGTAAACACGACGTATATATTATTATTATATTGACGATATATTGGGCTATTTATTTTGTGTTTACGTCGTGATTGATATTATCGCGGCCGAACCGGCCGGGGCCGCGTATTATATTAATATTATATAAGACGGACAGTAATTTATATCGCGCGGTTTCAATGGAAATAACGAACGAAATACGTTTAACATACAATGTCATAATGCCGGTGCAACGTAAATACGTCCGTGCCGTACAACAATATACACCGCAATATGGGTATACGGCATTTATTTTATCGGACAAGCGCGTATACATAACGCGATACCATTACAACGTTATTATTTGCCCCGGACAAATATAATAAATAATTCGCAGGGACCGAAAGAAAAAGCGAAAACGTTGTTTTTTTTTTTTTTGTTTTTTTTTGTGTACAATACAGAGTCGTCCCCGTAGACCGAGCCCGTCCGTGATTTCAAAACATTATGTTCAACCGAACTTCGCTCAGAATCGTTAGTCTTAACTTCGTAAGCAATGATTTATCGCGGCGCGCAGATATGAACTAAACGAACACGGACATAGTTAGACATTTTTTCGGGGGGGGGGGTAGATCTACCATGAACTTTCTATTCACAGACAGAAACGGAGACTTCTCCCGATTTTTGTACAAGCCTCCCAATACAATAATGTCGAAGTTATCAATGATTATTTTAAATTAATAATTAATAACTTAATATAAATTGAACCAACAAATATGTAGATAATTTTAAAAGATACAATTTCTATTCATCTGGACACAAGAGAGATTCACAAAATAAAATTGCTCGTAACTTATATAAATATACGTGTTTTCCATTTATAAAATATTTTCAAAGTAAAAATTCCAATCATATTTGTTTATGATAGCAAACTCGTCAGTAACATTGTACTTGACAAAACAATTCAGAAAAACCAGAACCAGATGAAAATAATGTTTTGCCCAATTGATATTTTAATTTAATAAGAAAATTAACGAGTATGATAAAACCGAAAAGTTTTTGCAAAATTACATAACTATTCAATTTAAAAATGTATTCCTCTCCGGTTATTTACACATCTAATCTCTATCCTCTCTAAATACGAGTATAACAATCTACAAGTATATTATTTTATATAGGTACTATTGATTTTTTTTTTTTATATATAGAAAATGCGGATAGGCCCGGGCCTACAAGGCCTACCTACCGGCTACGCTCCTGAAATTAAACCTTACTAAAATTACTACCTTCCCGCCTACAACGGTGGCACACCCGTCAGCCGTTTCGGTTCTTTTGTTAATGTAATATTGTACATTTTTGTAAAGTCTGGTCGTTACCTAAAGACATCCGGGCTCGGCCCGTTTTATGTTTGAAATAAAAATATAAGAAATGCTTGTCCTCGAGGCGGTAGACGAGACCTGCAATTCTGGTTTTATTATCATTTTTCCTCTGCGGTTTTCGTATACAAATATTCAAATGTCTTTATTTGCAAAACCCTCGTGGGCGTTTGCTGGTCGATTAAATTCGAATGTGTTTCGCGTAATGTACGGTGAGTCGTAAGTATATAGAGAGAATAAAATAGATAAACTACTTTGTCGTGACTAATCTGAACAAAGCGCCCAGCCAGCCGATTTGGGTATGCGGCATTGTGACACGCCGACACTTCCAGCCGCGCCGGTGCTTCAAAAACATATTAAATCATGGTGAATAAACGATAGAATTAGAGAAAATTTACGAAATAACAGTAAAAACGTGATAATTATCTGATTAAAAAATATCAGACTGTAAAATGTTTCCGATATAAAAATTCAGTGCCGAGAATACGTATGTATATATATTTTTTGTTAAAAACGTTAAAGCCGTAAATATACGAAATGTGTTTCTCCACATGACAAAATGTATTTCACAGCGCTTGGCCGTCCGACGGGGTTGTTGAAATATGTCTGTAAACAACATTGCCATTAATTTTTTTGACGTGGTTAGTATAGCTTACAATTATTCGTATTCTAATACGCCATAAACAATGGGGAAATATTACTCAATTTTTATCCTTTGAAGCACACGTCAATTTTTTTTTTTTTTTTTTAATAATATTAAAATTTAGCACACTCATATTAGGTAAATAAAAAAAGATTTAAAATAATACGTTGTTTACATATAATACCACAATACCTCAAAGGGTTACGGCCTGGACCCATAAGTAAAGGACAGGTACCTACCCGTCTTTTATATTTACACGGTAAAATTCGATTTAAGTCTCGACGCGCGTAACTTATTAATATTGTATTATTCCTATACGCATAAATTTCGATTTTACGGTTCGAATTGTTTTTCTCGCGCAGTAGACTTGCTTATAGTAAGTATACACGATAAATGTAATATATATATATATATAGGTAAGTATACAGACTTCCTCGTAGTTTTCCTTAGCCCGACACCCCGGAGAACCGTTATCAGGCCCCTGGGTGGTTCGCACCGCTCCGGTCGCATCTATAATATCGTAAAATTCCCCCCTGCAAATGGTACGAGGTTTTTTTTTTTTCAATTTGCCAAAATGAAACATTATATTATCGTATACGGTCACGTGCGTTCGCGTCTTTCTCGGCCCCTCTGTATATTACATATACCTAGTAAATATATAACGTTCATCCCTTAATTCGCTGGATATCGCGTTCGGCATTTTATTTTATGATGTGCGGCGAAATTTGTACCGTATATTAATATTATTGTTTTCGTATATGAAATAAAAACACTTTACTCGTGTGACGAAAATATAATATTATACTCACCAAAACCGTTGTATGTTATTACTTGAGCCGAAAAGAAAAAAACCGCCGGTCGTCGAACTCGCTCGACTATATGACGAAATAAATAATAAATTACGATTTGTCTCGTTTTTAACGGACTGTGCGTCATACATTTAAACCCGAATTACGCTAAATTTTGCATTTTTAACCATTACGGACACTGAGTATACTTTACGATGAACCAACTGATTGCATCAAATTTCGGACCATTTGACTCACCAAAAACGTGTTAATAAAAAAAAAATTGAGAATTTCGAAATTACAAACTGCGGAAAATGTCATGCTCTAAACTCCTTTTGAATTCCGTGGATTTTCGTAAATTGATAGACATCTGATTCTGTTAAATCTTTAGCCGGTAAGATAATTTCTTTTGTGATACAGGCGGCTTGACCGAAAATATCTAATAATTGCTTCCCAGTCGGCCGCATTATGATGGCATGCAAAACTGCGGCTTCTGTACGTCCGGATCGTTTGTCTCTGTTGAAATTATTTACCGTCTTAAATGTGAACTTTGTTGGAGCCAGGGGCAACGGCAAGTGCGGTTTGTTTGGCTGCAGGCGTGGACAACGTAAACATGATCATCGTGTATACTACGATAACGACAAACGGTTCGACCATTTGATATTTGATAAGGCTCGATAAGGCACAATGACGTCGGATTTGTAGACGATATTCTCACTCCGATCGTAAGTAGACACAAATCGAGAGCTCGTCGAAAAATGTTTTCGTCTTCCGGCGGCAAGTCAACAACATGTGTGTAAATTTCTCCGCTACCGTCTCGTCGGTCACTGAAAATATTTCACCGAGTACTTAACTCCATTTCAGATTGTGAATCATTTTCGATATTTGTTCGGTTTCAAACTAAAAATATTACAAACATAGGTAATCAAAAATTTTAAAAACAAAACATTATAGTGGTCAATTATCGTTATGATCGCTAAGTACCAGTTTTGATAATGGCTCATGGTTTTTATAACTCGTACGGTTCGTCTCGATCCGGAACTCTAATCTCATTCGAGGAAAATACCCGTATTCGTCATGTCTCCGTTCCATTATCGTCTCGTCCATCGTCTTGATGTCACGGTTTTTATTTTTCGTCATTTTCCGGTTTTTTCACTTATCGTGAAAACTACAGGAAAATCGAAAAATCGACTTTCTTCGTGAAATCCAAAATTAAATAAAAGAGGTCTTTTGCGGTTTTTCTGGTAGGAAATGTAGTTTGTCAAAATTAAAACCAACGAATCGGCAACGCCGGGGCGCGCCGTAAATATTTACCGTTTTACCTAAATAATTTTGTTTCCGTTTTTTTCTAACTATTTTCAAAAACCCCTTGGAAAATCGACAACGTTCAATACTCTAAAGCACCGACTGCAGACGGAACTTCCTCCCTACGCTCCGACTCTAAAACAAATGGAAAATCGAATAAACAGGTGCCATATCGAAGTGTCAGAGACTCGTTATACGCGGAATTTCGAACTAAACGAATTCGATTGCGAAACGGGCACGGCGGGAAATTAAACGGTGACAGTATCTGACGTCGACTACGGTTACGGCCGCTACAACCAAGTTTCTGAACTGACGTCGGCGAAATTTGCGCGCGTTTGACGTTCGCAACGGTGTTTCGCTACACGGACACCCAGGGTGGTTCCTCTGTTGCCGAACGTTCGAAACGCCTGCCGCCCGTGATTTCCCCCCGAGACAGGCCCGCTGGTCTTGGTTCCGGTAACGTGTAGTCGGCGTATTCAACGTACTGACGCGACGCTCTGTTTGCGCTCAAAACGCGACATCGTTTTCGGCGTGATTTAATAATAAATTGCCTGCGCGTTACGGGAGATGACCTACCGAAACGAACTGACTTGTTCGGTGGCCGATAATCGTGTCTCCCGAGTGCGTATTAGCGCCGTAACCGCGGTTGGGAGTGGAAAGGGGTTTAAGAGCTCACTACCGTTTGAGTGTTTTTTTTTTCCCCCCGGTTTTGTTTTCACGCGCATTTTCAGGCCTTTTTCGACGTTTTTCCGTCGCTCTTTTACGGATTTCAAGTGCATAAAGTCCCGAGCGCTAACCGATGAATGACGGCGAACCGCGCGTTGCCATCATTCAATTTGAATAACACACCGATAAAACGCGCAACAATTATCACGTAACGCATTACGGGTGCTTCGCAGTTTTCCCGCCTTCAGTGTTTCTATACCGAGTTTTTTTTTTTTTTCTCGGCTATGCGGTATTTCCGCCATCCATTTATATTTTTATCAAATAAAATACGAAAATGCGTAATAATCATTGCGCACTACGTATCAAAACGTCAATATTATTCTTATCCGCGCATAAAACCGTATAAATTGTAAATATATTAGACACTGAATTGACGTTCATGTACGCCTGGGGAAAAAATCATAAACTGTTGCAGAGAAAAAAAAAAAAATAAATAAATATATTAACAACGCGGTAAGGGCGGCACGAATAAAACCGCACAGACACGCTGCAGTGGTTTCAATCGTAATTTAGATCGCCTAAATTAATCACCCTCAAATTTTAACTCGTGTATAACAGTGTGGTACACCGAACTTTTTAGTTTTGAGTCAACGTTGAACGCGAATTTCGCATTCGTTTTTCGATTGATCCGGCAGCCAGGGGTACCGTGGGGGAGGGGACGAACTTTTTAAAGTTTCAAATTACTTGTATTTTTTTTATATCAATGTATACGTTTTAAAGGGTGCTGAATTCTAATTTCGCATTCGTTGTTCAATTGAACCGTTAGTTAAAAAATAATAGTCGGCCATTGGTTTTCTTTTTGAACAAATATATTACAATGTCATTGTTTAATTCACTTTTTCATTAAAAATATACAAAAATTATTCAATTTATTTTTGATTTGATTTTTTTTTTTTTTTTTTAAATATTATCATTTTCTTTTTAATATTTGTATACATTAATTCAACTGAATATTTCCTAGATTCACTACTAGTTGGATTCAATGGTCCTTTTTGCCGCAACAGTTCAAATAAATCGTCATAAGTCGAATTTATTTTATTTTGACCTTTCTGTACATCATTAATTCCTACAAAATAATAGTTGATGATATTGTACACGTTAAAAATAAATAGAAGAAAAGTAATAATAATACTACAATAAAATACAGACAAAGTAAAAATATAACCCTGTATAAATTTAAAGTGTTTATTATTTCATGAAAACCGAAATTTCCGCAATTTCCCCGAAAAATTCTTATGGATCTGAAAAGCTCGAAAGTTATGCTATATAGTTTATGTACACGGCGAAAAAGTGTAACAAGCGATAGATAATAAGTCGTACGCTTTTATACTATTAATAAATATAGAAAAAACGTAAGATTTCCCGATTAAAAATTGAACGGTTCGTACATTTTGAACGCTATAACAATGAAATTACCTTGTTCCGTAGGATCCATATTATGTTTTTCATAAAAAAAAAAAATAAAAAAAAACATTCAAATATACCTACACTTTCTTTTTTAAACGAGATAGGTGTTTATACTTATCCGAGTATTCAATTGGATTTGCGGTGCGTAACATGTATGGCAAGCATTAAATTATCACCAGTATACTCATAATTGTCAACAACGCTATTGCGCAAATCTTATTTGTCGAAATTTTAAAATTGACTTTTATGCATGCTAAATTACGATTCTACAGACCACCGTGCCGTTACCGTCACCGGGGAAACCGTTTGCGACAAACGCAAAACACACCGGACGGCGTAGAAACTGCCCATACGTGCCGCCCGTTATTGGACGGGCCACTCAGACGTGAGAATACGATAACATTAATTTTATTACAACCGAACGGTCAACGGCGATTTCGTTTTTGAATGGCCGCCCGGGACGGGTACTCATCCGGGTTAATGTATTGCCGGAACGCGCGCGTAAGGTATTTAATTTTCGAGGCTCGGACACGGTTTTCAAGACGGCGACAACGGCGTAACAACACCCGGTAACGGTAATCGCGGTTCGCAAAAAACATTCCGCGCTAATAGTGTCGTTATAATGGACATTGCCTATTGCGTTCGTTGATCTAAAAATTGTTGACGGCGCCGTGCAGTGGTCGTTAATAACAAGCGCGACGCCTGTCGCAGACAATTATTGCCGTCTATTATTATTCGCCAGGCGTTTGACGGCAATACATGATAAATAGCAGCCGAGTTTACCGTTCGGCAGGTATCCGTCTGGTTAATAGAAACGCGGCCAGTCGGAAAATGCATCGGCGTTTCGGCACCTGTGGGGTTGGGCGGTATCGAAGATGTAATAAAGTATCTTGAATCGTCATTTTTTAACGCATCAAGTATCGCGTATCACGAGACATTTTATAACAATATCATTGGTATTTTCTTTTACGAAAAATTACGATATTTTTATTGTGAAAATTTGTATTACGCTAAAAACTATAAATAAATGTGACATTTAAGTAGATAAGCTAATCTAATAAGTAGGTGCCTAATAAGTAATAGACTATACAGATGAAAACTGGATTGGAATTTTCGTTCTGATAAAGATTAATGAATCCACTACTTAGATAGGAGTTCTGCCTACATCACATTGCATTATTTCAATAATTATTTATCCATAGAAAAAAAAAAAAAAAACTATTCATAAGCATAATACAAGTTTATGTTCGTCTGCTCTTGTTGAGCGTTTATTTTCATTTGTCAGTTTCATTGGTGCTATCATCCAATAGATCAAATCTATCAGACAAAATATTTTAAAAACTAATTTTTCTTAAAGGTAACCGAGAATTTACTAACGAAAATAACTTTTAATTTAAAACTAATTATAAAAATAAAAAAAAAAGTTCTATTTTATGCATTATTATATTTATTTGTATATGAACTATTGACGTATAGGTACTGTATGTGTATTTGAATAAATATTAGTATTATTATTGCAAAAATAGATATCTAAAAGTTTACAAAATGCAAATTGAAAATATGTCATGTATATCTTTGATAAATATATCTTGTATCTAGATACACTAAATGTATGTATCATGATAATCCATTTTGAGTATCTTGCCCAGCCCTGCTTGTAGATATCTACATAATAACAGTAGCTATGGGTGTCGCGACCCCCAGTCATCTTTACGTTAGTCAATTTTCAGACACTCTTGTTAAAATGTAAGTGTCTATACTGAACACTTATTTGCGCGTTTAGAAATACTTTATGAATTCAAGCAACACAATTCAATTAATTATGTCTAAGCACGATTGTGATTATACGCGGACAAAATCATATGCGAAAATAAATAAACGAAACGATTCAAGAATAGGTAGATAGGTGATAAATACTATTTTACTTTTCTAAAATTACTAGGGCACAGGACTTGTAGCTCTAAAAAAGCATTAAATATGCAAGTACTTATGCACTTAAAAACCCTATAATATGCTTTGATGTATATATTTTTTAAATTTGAAAAATAAATAATCCTAAAATTGTAAGTACCCATGTAACTTTTTTTACTATGAAAGTGCTTAGAGTATGAAAGTGTAATGTTTTAACACCCTCCCACCCCACCACATGTTATCAATAATCAACAATTGACTTACCGGAATAATAACTATAGACATCACCAATAGTCCAGGACCCAAAATAAATGAAATTCCATACCACTTTTTTTTTCCGTAGATTTACGCATTGATTGGCATAAAATCAATAATAAATTGAAATTTGCAACACAATTGTTTTGAAATTTGTATTTCACTCACTATTTCAGACAGGAAATAATTGTTAAATATATCAACATTGTAACTGTTAAAAACTAATTAATTTAATATTATAATTACTGATTTAGAAAAGACTAACCTCAGTAGAATTGAGAGAACATATTCAACTGCTAAGCTCTATGCACACAGTAACTGGCCTGAGCAAAAACGTTTTAGTTTACATTTCTGTAGTAACTAGGCAACAGATACAGTAACAACAAATAAGGAAAAATAGTACGCGATCCGAAAAATCACAATTTTCAATAATATATTAAATTATATATAATTATTATGCATATATATATATATAAATATATATTTTATTCATTACATAAATATATATATATATTTGTTTTATAATATAACAAAAATGTTAATGTATATGAATATTGTCATTAAATACAGTTGACGAGTAATATGTTTTCGGTGTGATATTAGGATTTTTAATCAATTTTAATAATATTACAAATTCAAAAATCCGAATAGAAAAGAAAAGAAAAAAAACAATAAATAAACAAACAAACAAACAAATTCTAACAACTAAACAATAATATTATACAAAATATAACAACGAGGCAGGTTTCATACAAGGAGTATTACAAGTCATTTTTCATAAAAAAAAAACTCAAAAACAATATATTATGTTATAAAATTCAATAAATTTTTCTGGATATCTTAAAATTAATAAAATAAAAAATTATCCTTTTGTACTTGAATAAATCAATAATATAACACAAGTATACTGCGGGCAGATTAATTAACAGTCATTGACCCAACAGTATTATCAAAAAATAAAAAAATAATGATATTAACTTGTACAATGGATTAACACTTGTGGTGGAATTAGACAATTTTTTTGAATATGTATGATCAGTTTTATTTACATAAATAAATAACAAAAGAATATTTTTTATATTTATAGAAATACATTTATAATTAGAAATATATAGGTATCAATAATAATTATTTGTCAGTTCCCATTATAGACACATGACCTTCGTGTCCACAAATGGTACTTAAAATAGATTTTGCAAGGATTGTGTGTATTCTGGAGCCAAATACAGATTTTTTAACGATTAAGGTAGCTGATTGCTACCAGTTTTATGTTGAATATTATACACATTAATCTTTAAGAGATCTTTTTGGCACAAAACATTATGTTTAAAACAAATGATAACTTAACCGCTACAAACTTCTGAATGATCGTCCCAAGCATCAATCTGTAAATAAAATAAAAGTTACGAATAATTAAATAACATTGCGTTACTGATATTTTGCAAAATATTGAATTAATAAGGTTTTAGATTTATGGAACAAGGACAGTAAAAAAATATACAATTGCTAAATACCGGAAAATAATAATTTACCAAAAAGTTAAGATATTTAGAAATTATAAAAGTTACTCGAATATTTATTTCAGAAGATAAAATCCAATCACCTAAATTTATTTTGACAAATTGTATCTTAATATATTCTTTTCAATTGTATTATTAGTATAATTCAATTAGTTTGCAATCGTTATTGAGGGGTATAAATTTTAATATTAGAAGGATAAAGATATATTGTATGACTAATAGATGCTATAAGTAATAGAATCTATAAGTTTTTTTTTTTGTTATTTTACATTTTTACATATTATTTACTGGGAACAATTACCTTGTCATAATAATTAAATATATTTTTCTAAAAAAATAAATAAATACATACTTGACAGTCTTTGCTGCAGTACCATTGATTACCACATCCAGCACATACAAATTGTGCTGGTTTTTGCATACACCCTTGACACTGTGGTGCACTAGACGGAGAGTTTGCATTTACAACGTCTTGTCCTTCATCAATCACTAATCTATCCGAAGCATCTTCGTCATCAACCTGCTGAGTAGACTAAAAACAAAATAATCAACATCTCTAAAGTATATTATTTTTTATAACAAGTTTGATCCTTACTGGTATATTAGATGCGACACTTGGTTTTGGTTGAAAGGTTGTCGACATCGATGTACTTTGAACTGGAGTGATAGTTATTTCGTTACGTGATTGCTAAAACACATACAAAATATATATATATTTACTATAATCAGTTTAAAATTGTTGTTTTTGTTTTTATAATATATAGTTTTGCTATTTGAAACTTAAATGTAATAATAACATCCACAATAAATTGTAAAATATTATTATCAAAACAAATTAATAACACTTATTTTATTTTATTTGAAAGAAAAGAATAAATAAATAAACCATTTTAATGGTAAATAAATACTGACACATTATTAAAATTAACCAATATTATTATTAATCTTAAGAGAACATGCAACCGCAAGACGTGCTATATCCATCTTACAAAATTTATTACATAGCAAATTTACAATTAGCCGACAACTTTGGGCTATTATTCGTAATATTACAGTGAAATAACCTATTAATAAATTTAAAGATAAAAACACTAATTGCGAAATTGTATTTTTCTTTAAACATTTAAATTTTTAAGAGAGATTAAAGTTATTAAAATATGATATTTCACATACTCATGTTTCCTAAAAATTGAAAAATAGTAAGGATGTTGCACAGATGTTTTCATCTTTGATAATTAGTGAATTTACTCTAATATCTAAACTAACGCCATAATGTTGTCCCTGCTAAAAGTAAATTTGCTATGTTTTACGTTTGTAAGACAGAGAAAATACTAGTGGTTATCACGCCCTTTCAACTGTATTAAATATACTATTTAGTTTGGAATACTATAAGTTTTATCATTGAATCAACAATTTCAAAATAAAATTCTTCATATTATACAGCGTGGCATGGTGTCTCTCGATGCTATACACAATTCGTCTATTTTTTTCAAACTTTTTGTCAGAGACATATTTTCACCCGTTAATCAATAAAAAAAAAATTACTTTGTTTTCTTTCATAATAATAGTCACTTTGTATTAGATATTATTTTAAAAAAATTACTAAATATATCATAACTATTTCAATTTCTAGAGAAGGGGAGTTGTTAATTGTTTAATAAATTGTTCTTATCATAGTGTTACACAATGTAGCAGTAACCTATTCAATATAATTTTTCCTATTACTAAAATATTATTCATTGGATTTGTGTATGTTAGATTAAAATAATTAAAACAATATTTATTACAAAGTAGTGGCTATTTTGAAAATGTTGAAGTTATTTTTTCTAGTGTTTAAGTATTTAAAATAAAAATGTAATTTATAAGTTTTTGTACTTGCTTCAGCAGAACATATAATAAAATTGGAATGAAGTCCGCCGATATGGAATAAATTGATAAAATTAAAAAATTAAAATTGAATATTCACAAAGATAGCATTGGAAAAACAAGATAAGACACCATGTAGATAAAATTATTACACTATGTCGATTAAACCGTCTTAAATAAATACAAATAAGTAATCTAAAATGAAACTAATGTTTATCAAACACAATGGGCACAATAAAAATATTAATTATTAATAGAGTATTCATTCATTATTTATTTATATATATAAATGTTAAATAGAAAAAAAAAGATTAATAGTGATATTTATGAGCATCGAAAATTTACTATGAATAGCAAATGAGTTTCCATTAATTATTATACAATTTTTACTATTTTTAAAAATAAAATCTTAGTCAAAATTATGTTTAAGGTTCTGTAGTGAAAAAGACAAAAACAGAATCCTTATATTTTTATAATGTCCATCCATGTATCCATAATTTGTCATTTATAAATTTTAATGGAATTCTAAAGGTTTCATATGTAAATGGCCATATGTTTGTATAACCAGAAAATAAAAATAAATATATTTTACATAAAATTGATGGATAAAGATTTTATTTTTCAAGTCTTTACTACCCTACTATTGTAAAGGTATTTTATAAAGTAATAAATATTCTAATGGGATACTTTTTATACAAATTAATATTTCGTGACATATACGCTCCTAAAAGTTTAAAATAATATTGCCCACTATCTAACTTCCAAACTACCTGATTAAAAATTCTGAATAACAGACACATACAGACAAAAGAAGGACACCTTTAACAAAAATTATTTTAAATAACATATGTTAATATGTTATATATAAATTTATTTATATATTATATATAGACATATATATATTTTTTTTGTAAGATAATTAAGATATTCTAATTTAGATGAGTTATAAATTATAACTTAATATGTAGTTATTTAATTTAATCAAGTTTATTATGATATACAAATTTAAATTATTGTTAAAGGATGTTTTTAAAAGAGAAAAAGTTAAAAGTTGATGACTTTAAATGTCTATCACATTTGAATAAAGTGAAATAAATCAGCGTTTTTAAAATATATTTTAAAAAGTAATGCGTTTCAATCAAATTTATTCACTTTTTTCACAATGAATGCATTCACGTTCATAAACATTTGAAGCGCATGCCAGGTGAGTTATAAAACAAAATAAAAAATAGATTCATATTTCTTTTTGTTCTAAACAAGTATCACAATTACAACTGACTACTAAATAACCAGAAGAACTGTAAGTAAATTTATTTTATACATTGACTCAACATTTTATTACTTATATAACATTACTATTTTTTTTTTTTTAATTATATCCCAAAAAAGGTAATTTAAATGTCCTATTCATATTTCAACATACATTAAACCATTCAAATTTACTAGTCCTTAAAAATGATACGCATTTATGAAGAAAGAATTTTTTTAAAATGAATGTAATTTAATAATTGGTTTTTTTCCCACGAATACTGGAATAAATATATACCGTATTAGAAGACACAACTGTAGCTGCAGGTGGTTGTCGTTGCTTTCCTCTGGGTTGCTTGCAACGCTCTGGAGCAGTTAAAAGTCTTGCTAATGTCGGCGAATAATTAGTCGGAGGATTTGACATACTCAGTGGTAAATGATGTGTGCCTTTTGTTAAAATACCTAAACAAAATTAATTATAAATACTTACATTTATCTTAGTAATGAAATTATAAAAATAGAGATGTCCATTTTAAGTTTTAATTAACATTATTATTAAACAACTTGTGTTATTTTTAATAATAATTTTTAAATTTGTTTAAATTCCTCGAAAACTTCTTTATAATAAATTGGACGTATTGATATTATCTAAACACAAAATTAAATTTGGTTTGATTCTTCATTGAAATCTAATTAAATTTGCCGTAAAATATTTATATAAAATTATCAACCTATTCACTTTTATAAAAAATATTATTTTGTTATGCTTGCTTAAAATGTATGTTTCAGAATTGTATTATTTTCATTATTTAGAAAATATTTTATACGTCATAAAAACTAGTATTAAATAAAATAATATAAAATATATCAATGTTACATTACCCAATATTGTATTTGAATTAAAACATTTACCGTGTAGCAGCGAAGTCGGTTGCTGTAGTTGCTGTTGCATTGGCTGCGACACTGGATGCAATGTAACTTCTGGAAAAGCAGGAACATCTTTAAAACGATTATGGTCAGACCCGTGTTCCAAAACATTGTTTGGAACTCCATGGCTGTTTGTGACAGCTGAATGTGAAACACAATAATTTGCCATTTAATTCTTATAGCTGATGATAAAAAGGAAGGTGCCTATTGATAAATTACTTAATAATACATTTTTATCTTACTCGTTTTAAAATTTCCATCATTAGCATGATGAATTGGATTGTTGAAACTCATCGGATTTGGATATCTCATTTGAGTCGAAGACGTGGGTGCAGAAAAATCGTTAACAGGGGCCTTGCGGCGACCTCTTTTGGGCACAGCAGTTTCAGGATTTTTTGATCGATGGTCAGCAATGATAAGCTTAACATCTAATATAGGACCTTGACGACCTTCTTTTTGATTGTTGACAGCTGCACTTGGTTTGGGCAAAATCACTCTTTGAACTCTTTGGTTTGTACGGTTTGCCCTATCCGCCATTATCCAATCATTTGAATGTGCATTCATTGCAGTGTGGTGTACCACTGGTGTGATACTAGTGCTAGACGATGGTGCAGCATAGTTATTCTGTTCGTAACTTGTAGTCATAGACTTTTCTATTAGATTGTCACGGTTGTCTATGATGTCCAATACATTCTACAAGAAAAGATCAATTAAACATTAAATAAAACCAAAATATAAATAAATAATATAGGTATTACCTTTTCATTTAAAATATGTTCGGATTGACTTAAATTTCTGCTTAAATTTATTTGGAACATTTCAGGCAAATTCCAATCTTTACTATTGTCTGTTTTCATAGCATCTAATTCTTTGACTTTAATCATAAGTCGCTCGATAATTTCTTCTTTGAGCTTTTGTAATCTAATGAGTGTAACCAGCTCGTCGCGTTTAGTCTGAGCTATTTCAGTGATCACTTTAATTTCGTTTTGTATTTTCTCAATGTTTCTGGACAACTCAACTTCGTTTTTACCACTTGAATGCACAATATTCTTGATCAATCGTTCCCGAGTGTCATCTTTGATTAAAGGCACATCTTCATCAGATCGCAATTTTTTCGTTTTTGGTAAATCGTTATCACTACTTGCTCCGCTCACAACACTGAGTTCATCGTGACTAGCAGCTGACCTCTTACGAGCAACAGGTTCATCAATCTATAAACACAAGCAATGCTAAGTAAGTATAGCATAACAATATAAAAAAATAAGGTATGGAATTTTAAATTCAGTATTTAGGTACCTGTTTAGGTGAAAGTGCATCTGTACTCATCTCGCTGGACATATCTTCTTCTTCTGGGACTTTTTGAATATTTTTTTCTTTTTCAGATTCAATTACTTTATCCACTTCGACTTTTACACGACCATTCACCGGAATTGATTTTTCTTCTCCGTTTTTGATTACTTCATCGCTATGACTTACTTCTCCGTTGTGAACAGAATTTTGAAGTTTTTCCATTTCTACACCTACAGCAGTTTCGGGATTGTATACTTCTGTTTCTGGTTCTAGCTTAATAACAACCACTTCGTTCAGTTGATTTTCTTGCTTAATAACTACCACTTCGTTCGCTTGATTTTGATCGATTTTCGGCTTTGCTTCTTCAACTTTGTTGGGGCTGTCTTTCGGTTTATCATCTACAGTTGTAGTTGACAACGAAGTTTCCACTTGATCCGTATTTTCAGCATTTCCGTCGCATTCACGTTGTTCTTCCTCCGAAGAAGCGCCGTTTTTCGGGGGTTCGTCAACACTTTGGGAAGATTCCGGGTTCGATTCGGGTTCTTTTATTTCGGATGATTTTATATTTCCTTCTTTAACTGCGACTTCGGAAGTTTCGTTGATTTCATTGGTGTCGTTAGAACTCTCAACGACGGCGGTGCCGTTTAGTTTTTTGTGACTGTCGCCGTTCATTTTGGTCGTAGTTTCCACATCGGATGATTTCGAGTCCGAGGTATTGGTCGCGTCCGCAGACATGATCTCGGAGTTTGAGCAATTATCCGCCGGAATCGGCATGCGACTAATTTGCATTTCGTCTTCTGGAATCCGATAACTGAAAACAAAAACAAGACGAACGTAATATTAACGCGGGTTTATCGACAAGACTATATAGACGGAGAATGTCGTTAAGAATTATAAATAATTTATATTGATTTTAGCGCTGCCCGTGACCTTCCCTCCAAAATTACAATCGGAATGCGCCCGCCGTCTTCCGAAACGATAACCGTCCACTCGGCACCAGGAATGCGGTAAACTTATCGCGTTACACGATTCGGGTACCTACCTACACCTACTCGTATTCGAAACCGCGTATCGAAATCGATTGTTCGGAAGTAATCGTATCTCGTACCGGCTGCGGGAAAATTCGACGCGTTTACTATGGAAAATTATTGCTATTTTTACACGTACCTACCGCGTCGACGACGCCGGCAATCGATCGTTCGGACGGTTAACACCACGGCGGCGGTGGTTCTCGGCGTCTCTTACCCGGGCGTCCCGACGAACCTGGTCCGGATGGCGGTGATGGTCCGCCGACGGAATTACCGGATAATATCGAAAACGAAGGGGAAAAGGTGGCTACGGAACACTCTCGTGAAAGGGTCCAAACTACGCGGCGGGTCGCGACGCAACTCGACGCGGAGAACGTAATGAATTCATCGCTGCGGTCCAGTTTCCCGTTCGACGACGCGGCTCGCGAGCACACACACACAGTTCATTTACCTCGGCGTGTCCCGGTGCCTGGCGGGCGGGCGGGCGGCGGCGTGCGCGCGCGGTCTGTCCTACTTAGACGTCGTCGTCGTCGTAGTAGTCGTCGCCGTCGTACAAGCAGTCGCTGTCACGGTCGCACGCTCGAAACGAATACGCGACGAAAAACGCCGACGCGCTCGTACGACATGACACGGTATCAACAACAACAACAACAACAACAACACCACGACCACAACAACAACAATAACAACCACAATGACAATATTATCACGGCGTAAATTTTTCGCGCGGCGAACGACGGACGGGACGAGCGCGGCGATAGATTACGACTGATTGACGGCGGCGGCGGTGAAGGCTGAAATACACGGAATAAGTAAATAGAAAAAAAAAAACGCAGTGAGTGGCGAATACGGCTTAACAGTTAGGTTACGGTGAGAGTGGGACTACGTGCGGTAGTGCGAAGACAGAGAAAAAAAAAAAGAAAGAAAAACGGCACCCTACTCGCGAGAGCGGACCGACACGACGACACAAACGATACGATTGGTCCGTAGAAATCGCGTACACAGCGATCGGACCGTAGGGACGGGGTCGGCGGCGGTGGCTCAAGGCTACACCGGGCGCCGACGGAGGGAGTTGGACAGGCGACGAGAGAGAGACGGTGAGCGGTCGACGTAACAAGAGAGCGAGCGGGACGGAGTGATAACACGGAGATAATACCGTCGTGAACCGCAGGCTTGCTAACTTCGCGGACCGATATTACCGTACGGACGCGGCGCCGCCGGTCAGATAACGCGTTCGCGGAGTCGCTAGACCTTTGCCCGTGGAGGCGCGGAGCGGTTATTCCTCGTGTTCGCGCGCGCTACACGATACCGTGCCGACGGTGTCCGCGAACGTCCCACGGGACCCGGCGGTCGGCAGTCCGAAAACGCGTTTCGCACCGGTTCGACGGACGGACAGGAGTAGGTACATGAATAATATCGCGGCGTCGCCGAACGGTCGGTCGCGCGACGTTGCGCGTGTGTACGCGCTCTCTGCGCGAAGGGCAAAGCAAGGACACGATGCCGGGCCCGTCCGTCCGGCAGAACGCGCTTTTTTCCCCGGCCCCGCGATCCGCTCGTGTCGACCTTGGGCGCGCGACACCACTTCGCGGCGTACCGCATACACCACGTCGCAAACAATAGGCCGTATACCGCGCGCGCCGCGTAGCCATCGTTACCGCGGTACCCAATAAAAATTGTATACACCGCGGCGGTACGAACACGGCACGAAACGGCAGCCTTTGAGCGCGCCCGTCGTTCGTCTCGACGCAATCCGTTCTCAACGACCGTCCGTACGCGGATTATGTTTGAAGAATGTCCGAAAAAACGCGTTCGCATTCGCAGCCGATGATCATGAACGTTGTCGCTGTGATGTCGCGACGGTCGAGTATTGAGCCCCGTAGCTTTGAGCCCGTATTCACGATCGGATCCGGGTTTTTCGGAGGCCTGTAACCCTCATAATTTCTCCTGAAAAAATCCCCATTGCAGCGACTCTGCAAAACGTGCGATATTTGTATACGGTTTTTTTTTCACCAATGTTTTTGACAGAGAACACGGGCCTCCAAGCTTCTATATTACACGACAGTGGTTCGATTCGGGAGGGAGGTTAGGGTACTTGGGCCTCTGAAGTCCCCCCGCCCATCCCTCCGATCCAGAGACAGAGCCCCGTAAATCGCATTTCGTATGATGGCAGGACTCGAGTACCGATCCCCCCGAGGTTTATGATCTAATTCGCGCCACTGCTAATAATATGTCAAGTACAAAATATGACGGACGACCCATAGCTGTATTGTCAGGTTAGATTCGTGAGCGTCCGCGCGTCGGGACGGAACGGAGCATTTGCCCCACCACCCCTCTCTCCCATAAATATAGGTTATTAGTTATTACATTCGAACGTTGAAATAACGATAAATCTTTATTTAGCGTGAATTGTCGAGAACTGTTTTCAAGTTTGTCCGAAATTTCGTCTACGTTGGTCGGGTCAGTTTGCGTCCACGGACGACGGCGGCGTCCAATCACCGATGCGATTATTCAAATGGGCTTTCGTCGGGATACGGCTTCTCCGAGGACGGACACGAAGTTCGGTAACGATTCGGGGGGGGGGAGGGAAACGGGTTCCGTAATACGACGTACGTGTAATATACCGTTATATACTCGGTGGCGCATCCAAGGGGTCGCCTTTTTTATTTTTTTCTCGCAGCTATGGGTAAGATGTTATGAAAGTAGTACGCCTCTAACCCCCTTCCCCCCACCAATATTGATAAATCTGTGGCTACGCCGCCGCCGCGGCTACACGCTATGCGCTGTCTACACGTTATAATATATTCGGAAACTATACGAACTTTTTTCCCGCGAAAACGCGCGCCCGTGTTGTTGGGAAAAAAAAAATAAATAATACGCATGGAATTCTCACAACAGGTCGTCGTCGTCGTCGTCGTCGTAATGCGCGCCCGTATCAGACGGTTTTTCGGAATACCGCGGCGCTTGCGCACTTCCGACCGAAACGAAAGCGCAATAATATCGTATTTTGTTTACGATTAATGCGCCACACGTTCCAATGCGACGCGTCCTCCGCGCCGTTGTTTTGCGCGCGAACGAAACGGTCGGCCGGAGGAGGGTGCGGATGGGGGGATAGGCGATGACCGCAGTTGTTGTTTAGCGACAGACCTTTTTGTTTTTTTGGCATTTTTTTTTTTCCCCGACCGTAAACAAACGACAGTCGGCGTGTGCACAGAAGTTGCGAAACGACGTTTACCTGCCATTATTGTAACACGATTTCGACACGCGAACCGCATGATATTATTATTATTATTAATACCGCGAATGACGCGACAGTATACGTTGGCCCCACGTTGACGCGGCGAAATTTCAAAAAAAAGGCCCTCTACACCGATGCTTCTCAAACTGGGGAGCGCGATCCATTTGAGACTCGCCAAAAATATATAATACCGGGTTGTCACGTATCGAAAGTATATTCAGGGGTCGCTAAAAAAATCGCGACAGTTGAAAAGGTTGAGAAACACTGCCCTACGCGAAAGACGCCGACGGCCTTTTATTCACTTATCAGCCCGCGTATTTCATAGTATTCGGCTGACACCGACGGTTCGACGCCGTCCGTTCAAATCGTGCCCATCACTACCAAGGGCAGTCAGTGGTACCCGTCGGAGGAGCCCACAGGGAAATTAGGCCCATCTGCACACAGTGTGCGGGCTCCGAGAGGAAAATTCGTCGAAGTCTGGATCCTTTTTTTTTTTTTAACGGGCCTCGTCACCAACTCCAGCATTTTGTTTTCTCACCGGTCGGGTTTAGGGCGATGGAATTAACTGTACTTTTTTTATTGTACAAAATGTTCCGCGAAAATATACCGGATACCCGTATTGTAATATATATCCGGAGATAATCAATTTCTGTTTTTTTTTTCAACATAATACTCACAAGGATAAGGGCTACAAATATTTACATTTTTAATTATATTTTGGTGAACAGTGACTTTTTATTATATTATTTTCGACAATTTTGTAAATAGCCATTTTCCAGTCATAGATTCTACCGAACATTTTCACGTTTCGATTTTTTAAAATTCAGAGAAATAAAACGTACTGTCAATATCAGTCATAATAATAATTATTATTATGTCGTATTGATTATTATTCCAATTAATTATGCAGCAAGCTGTAATCATATTTGTGATTTGATTAGGTATTGTTATTATTGCTGTGGCTAATATTGACTGTATATTTTTAGATTCTTAGAGAAGCGAGGAATGTATTGGTTTTACAATGTTTATTAGTTAATTGATTTTTTTTTTTTTATATGCTTCGAACAATTTTTCCACTAACAATCTCACTACAATGCACCAAGTACGTTTACTGAAAGGAAATTTTTATCTAATTGGTACTTTGAACTAACAGATCATCCAAACAGTTTTCATAATAATTAGGAAAAAACGAAAATATTGTTTTTATTTTCAATTTTCTATTTTTTCTGTTGTAATTCAGTTCATAATGTTCGTAGAGACTTGAAATTTAAAAAGAAAACTAATATCTTATTATATCTAATATCTTTTCTAGACTTGATAACATTTTCTAAACATATGAGCCATTTTTGAGCAATTTAGCAAGTTTTATACGAAATTTTTATTCGATGATACTCTGTGGATAAAATTGTTAGATCAAACAGAAATACTTGTACATTTATTAGAAAGTTAGTTAAATAGTTTGTAATTACTGGTCTAAAACATTTTTTTTCTATTCTTGCGTTATTAAAGATGATTTAACATTTGAGCTAATTGTTATTGGAAAACGCTCAAATGATAAATCTTATCTTTTTATTAGAAACCAACTATAGTGATTGTTATATACTAATCTACGTAATTGAATTATTCAACATATTAACTTAGATTTTATTTTACATTAAAATTATTTGAGTTTCATTATGTTTGTATTTAATTACGAAAACTGTTTTTAAATTTGGATATTTTTTTACCTAAATCGGAAACTCATAGTAGGTATAAATACTCAATGTCCGCAAAATCTGTATAGGCTAAGCCCTGCACGCCCTAGATTCGACCTAGATTCACTTATTTTTGTTTTTCTCTCGTGCATCATGTCTCCGCGATTACGGACTCTCCGGGCCGAGTGTTAGGGCTTAGTCTACAGACGTCGTAAATACAGAGTATTTATGTCTATTATGGGTTTCGAACCTAGATGAAAAAAATGAACAAATGGATTCCGGTCGAAACGTCCACGGACCGCAAAACATCCAACGGTCGAAACGCGGAGATTGCCGTCCGGTTCGTGTTCCGGTCGTCGTAATATTTGTGTGTGGCTATGATAGAAAATATTACGCGGTGGTTCGCGGTCGCGATGTTTTCAACGTCCGCGCGCGCTACTGGAAACGCCGCGCCGTCCGAAAGAATGAATCGAAATCCCAACGGATCGTCGGCCTTGGACGTAAAATTAGCCGAGCAGGTGGTCACCCGCAGTGGACAATGGACCGCGGCGGCAGCCGTCAAGTTTTATTCTGCGAAAATCGTGTTTCGGGCAAGTACGCGCGGGCGACGGTTTTTTTTTTTTTTTTCTCGCCGAAATTCCACGCGCCCTCTTCGACGTCGGGGGACAGCCGACGGACACCGTGCGAGTACATTTTTCGCGTTCGCGTTCGCCATTTCACAGCCCAGTTTTGCCCAATACGCGCGAACAATGCAACAATAGGCATGCGTCGCAGTGTTATGCTAAAATGTAATGTCACAAAACGAACGTGGACGGACGGACACTCGGCTTGTTATTATTTTGGGGCGACGGGGAAAAAAAAAAAAAAAAACAAACAAAAAAACTCGTCCGATAAGCGTAATTTTTATATAAATAATTGTGCAGTTTTTTTTTTTTTTTGTATTCGACAACATCATAATCGTCGTCATACCGCGAATAGAAGATATTTTTTTTACTTTCGAGAAAACGAAACGAGTGACCGTATATTACAATGTAACATTATTATAATAGATTAAGCCGCACGGCTCGCGTGTGTCCGTATTACAACGACGCGTCTCCGCCGCATCTTCCTCTCTCTACCTGCCTACGCACATTTTGTAGGTTTCGTCCGTATGCAAATCCGCACGATAAGCGCAAACGTAATACGATTCGGTATTATGCGCTCTACGGCGTGGAAAAAAATTTAAAAAAAAAAAAAAAAAAAAACCCATTTTAAATACCGTCCGCGCGTTGTTACCGTGTACACGGACCGGGCGTTTGAAGTCACCGGTCTTGATAAAACAACGGTATCGTCGGTGGATTTCGGTTCTCTGAAAACGGACGAACCCCCACGCAGGTGCCAGTCACTCAGTATAGAATTTCCGCACGAAACCGTGAAGCATCAACTCGTTTACCGCAAATTCGGAAAATCACGAATTTTATTGTTTCTGAAAACAACTACGCTTTAGTGATGGGCGCAACCGAATCAGCTATGCAACTATCGGGACAATAATAATTCGATAGTCGATCCCGTCCGAAATATTGGACACATTAAAAACTAACTATTCGATTATGGCGAAAGGCGAAGGAAATATTCGATAGTTCGTCCAAACTATTGAAAACTATCGTTGGTATAAACTATTCCGAAGTGCCTAATACGTAATATTATATCGCGTTTATCGCGACGGTCGAATGTAAAAAATCGTAAAATACGTGTTTACGCTCAGTGATTTAGATTCTGAGCGGAGCGAGAAATGCATTGGTTTTACAATGATATTTTGGTTTTTTTCTGAACAACTTTTCTACCAGAAATTTCGTTCCGATTTTCCGGTGTAGCAATTTTTCCAGACTGGAAATCTGACTGGATGGTACTTTAGGATGGTTATTTTTCGATTTTCCAATGGATTTTCCTAATAAATGGAAAAATCGGGAAGAAATGTCAGAAAAACGGAAAAATTTACAAAATGTATTATTTTTAAATCGTAAATATTACGGCCTTTCAATACATTAAAAAAAACCGAACTAGTTTGGAGTCGTTTTTCGTTAGTGATGTGTAATCTATGCGTACAGATAAACATTATATTTCCAACTTCTCTCCTATAACAGTGACCCACCCATTGTGCGAAGTATGTGAGTTTGTGTTGTTATCCTGCCCTTATCTCCTCCGATTAACTTCTGGAATAGTATTGGTGCTGTACTATTAAAATATCGCGTGCCGTGCTCCCACGTAAATGATGCTCTACTATTATACTCTACCCCGATCAAAACTCAGATGAGAAATAGCTCGTCAACGGATTGACGGAAATCAATAATTTAAACATCGAAATTTATTTTGACTGACGCTCCGTCTATTTGTGGGATTTTCGGTACGCGTTGCTATTTGGAAATCAAAAGTATTTAGTGGTCTTATCCCCAAAAATATGGGCGACAAAAAAATAACATACATGCAAAATTGTAAAGCCGCTTAATGCTTCTTAAATATTCTATGAAACAAATTCCGAAAAAAAATGTAATACTTTTCGAGATAATGAGTATCGAACGTCAGATTGAGCACCTGTATTTATATATATATATACACATATACACAATTATCTAACCTCAACTATTTTAAAAGTGGATTTTACGCGCCAATGAAATCCGACAAATTACGGGCGCACAGTGACGAGTATTTTATTAATAATATCATGTTATTCCGTTCCTATACCTATATTTAAAGACGGTGTGATTGTTCTCGCCATCTATTTATACACACGAATTTCTACGGATAATTTACTTCGCACGCGTAATGTTATTATGCGACGGGTATGGTTTTTTTAGGTATGTTTTCTTTTTTTTTTTCTTTTTACCGAGAAATTCTTTACCTCGCAATGAACGATCGAAAACGGCCGTTATTCAAAACCGCCGTCAAGAGGATCGTATTTAGAGGACGCGTGCAAATTTTCTCGTCTCCCGCTTATACGTTTGGTATACGACACAGACAATTTTCGTTCGGCAAGGGAGTCTTTGTAAGGATAGTTTTAATAATCGACCGGGGGCCCTAAACAGAGTGCATCGACATATTATCAAATTTGAAAGTAACATTGTGATCCGTTTTTTGCGGTTGTTGTATTATGTTATTCGTTGTTTTAATATTTCCAAGCGATGTATAATTAAGCGTTTTAAATCCGTAACTATTCACTCGCTCGTAACTCGCTTAAAACTTAACATAACCGTTGGCGAAAATTGTCCAAAAGTTTAGAGAGGGCTAATATTTGTAAAAATATTTATTGTATATGTAAATCAAAGCAGCTCTATTAATTTGCGAAAACCATCTTACCTTGAGCACCACGGAACACCATAATGTACGATTTATTTTAGACATCCAATCTATGAATGAATATGTAAGTATGCATGTACGTATATTATACGTATTATATTAGCATTAAAAGTTTAAAATAGGTAGGTAGATGAAAACTTGTTTAACCGCCAAAATAATTGAAATTGTTACTCAAAGTGCTTGTTTGTTAAATACAAATTACGAGAATTAAACTTAAAAATTGTATTTGATAATGTCATGAGAATTGTAATGAAAAACAAAAACACCTATCAAATATTTCTTTACACTAAGCAGCGTTGTTACATTAAAATACATTAAAAATTTAAAAAAAAATTGTATACAGGTCCATAATAATATCACCTAAACATTTATTATTTATAGTGGTGGTCATACTTTTGATTCCGAGTGGAGCGAGGAATGTATATTGGTTATACAATAATGTTTATTTTTTATCTGTGGACAACTTTTCTATCAGCAATTTTGTTCCGATTTTCAATTATAGCACTTTTTCTGAAAGTAAATCTGATTGGGTAGGTATACTTTAGGGCGATCATTTTCTGATTTTCCCGTACTGTTTTCATAACAAACGGGAAAAACCGGAAAAGGTTAGGAAAAACGGGAAAATTTACGAAATGTATTATTTTCAAATCATAAATATTACTGTTTTTCAAAACATGCAGTGGCGCAGGAACTACTTTTCATGAGTGGGGGCGGGGGACAAATCATAAAAAACCTAACAGCTATTATACATTTATTTGTGACTGATAATAGAAAACCTTTCTTAATATGTTATTATTTTAATGTTGATATAGGTAGTATGTTACAACATAAGAATTATATAAATGTATTGATATAAATAATATAAATATAAATACATTATATTTATACATTGAAACATTTATGTATTGAAACAAAACATAAAACATGTTTACTTTATACCTGGAGTTATATTCAAAAGTAACAATATACGAATGTACAATATTGAATATATCATGTAATATCAATGTTACTGTAAGCAAATTAATGATTATACATTTATGCCGTATTGCGCGACAGCGTACTCATTTAATAGTCGTAATCAGTAATCACTAATCGCCATTCGGAACCTAATCGTAAACGACGTAAACTGTAAAAACCTATAAATAGTCTAATGATACATAAACAATATGGTATGTTGTGAGAACACTATCCGGGACTGGGGGAATTTCCCAATATCATTTGATAAAGCAAAAGCGCTGCGACAGAAAATGTCTACAAAAATTACTCAACATGTTTATATGCATTGATAATGATAATAATATTATTATTACGCACTTTCGGGAAAATGAGAGACCACCAATTTTGAATACGTAAACGTATAAATCAAACGTAATTTACGATTGTATACCTCTTAATTTTAATGTGATAGGGGGGGGTGGTCAATTGCCCCCTCTGCTCCTCCTTCTCCGATGCCACTGAAAACATGTGTAACTGAACTCCGCTTAGAATCGGTTTTCGTTAGCAAAGATTAATCGTGGCGTACAGATAAACATCTTGAATTCCACTCTACAATTGAATTCCCCTAAACCTTTACAACTAATCATTTACAATGACGGCCCACCCATCGTGTGAAGTATGTCCGTAATTTTATTTTTTATTATAATTGTGTACAATAAAATTGCAGAATATTCGTATGTCGATAGCCGCAGACGCTGATAATATTATATCGCCGAATCGACATAACATTTTATAGTACTTTATTTTATGTTTCGTCTTCCGATATTGTGCGTAACGGTACGAAACAAAGATCGGCGTTAAATAATTCAACTGTATTGTAGGTTTTTATATTTAAAAAATTTGTTTTATTATTTTTATATAATATATAAGACGGAAATTTCGCGCAGCACAGATTGCCGACAGAAAAGAATCCGATATTTTACCGTTATCGTCGTTGAAATGTCAAAACAAATAGCGCGCGATTGTTATAAATTGATAATATTTTATTAAAATATGTAAACTCGTAATATGCGCACTCGCACAAGTGTATAAATGGGCATCGGAGTCGCCAACAACGCGTCCTTTTTTTTTTTTGTTTTATTCTCCGACTAAATATTTGAAAATTCGCGACCCGGCGACACGGGCACATTCGAATAGTTAGCGAGTCTATTACTCACATAATATAATCACAGAGAGTGGCCGCCGGACCTGTTATCAATGTGTCCGATCTCCAGGGACGCGTTTTTTTAATTCAATCAATAGCGTCGATAGATTTTCCGTAGCAAAACAAAAAACTCCTAGAGAACATAGACACGGATGTCCGGAGATGGGGGCAAGACGGGCCCCCTGGACTTCAAAATTTTAAATATAAATTTAATAATTAGATAATTAATATAATTTTGCTATAATTTGTTGGTGCTTGATTTTATCAAAGAGCTCAGACAGGTTCTTATTTAGGGTTCAATGTAAAAAAAAAAGATCATTCGAAACTTTTTTACTAAGACACACTGCTCCTCCCTGATAAATTTCTTACGGGCATCTATGGACCTTTTTTTACACACCATAATAATATATACCTTATAGATTTTTATTGTTTTCAAAACAAAAAAGTTCGAATGCCAACACGAAATAAATAAAGCAAAGGTTCGAACAATTTCACTACAATAAAAAACAATTTAAAACGAATAACATTAATTATTGGTTAGAGCGAGATTATTAGACGATTGCTTTTTGTCCGCTTTTGTTTGTGGAAACACAAGTGGGTCCGCACTATCGGTCGGTGGCTTTCTCGTGTAACTTACCAAAACGTGGTTTTTCATTCAAACATTAAACCCTAGCAATACGGCTACCACCTGTAGATTATATCCTGATACTGATGGCGTATTTATTTTGATATTTAAAAAATCTTTAATAATTAAATTAAATTATTGTGCAAGTATAGGAACGACCAAGAGTAACTCATAATATAATACTGACCGTGCTGCAGTGATTAATGTTTTAGGTATTTGCAATAACGTTTGAGACGACGATCAAGTTGTTATCGATTTGAATTTTAGATAAAAAAAATATTAAAATACATTTTTGTCGAAGTTCCAAATTACGGTTATTTCTACTATTAAAACTAATATAGGTACACGTTATAAAACTCCGCATGCACACGTTTGTAATAATTAAAGAGACACACTCCGATTTTCAGGAGCGACACACTATTTTAGTCCTCATCTAAGGACGGCGCCGTATTGAGCACTTTTTCTTCCAATCGTTTTTATCGGCATGGACTAAATTCTAGATATCAGTTATCTATATTTGTGTTTTAATATTGCCAGCTATTGAGATAATATTATAATAGATGATTAGGGTAACTAATAAGTTAGCTAAACGTGATAAATTATCGGTTCGCAAGTATTTATAATAATTCATATACCCAGCAGTTTTTATAATCGAATTTTAATAATAAAACATTGAACAGATGCGTTGCAAAACACGATTGCCAACAGTTAAAGCAGTTTTTCCCAACCTTTTTACTGTCGTGACTCCCTAAATGAATACTCAATTTTTTAGCAACCCTTAAAGATATAAATTTTATACATGGCGAATTTATATTTTTGGGAACCCTAAATAATTAGTAGGCAACCCCCAGGTTGATAAACACTGAATTAGAGTACAGTATTAGAAAATGGATGTAACTGAAATAATTTATTTTTCAGATGCTCCGTAGTTTACATTTAAACGTATTACGTTTAGAGGAAGACACGATACGAAAAACCCAGAATTAAGCGAGTTCTATTCTGCCTGCGTGTAAGCGTATTGTGTTCGCACAAATTCGGGTACCTATAGACATAACGTCCTCTTAATAAATACATACATAATATAGGTATTGGAACATGCAGACGTTTCTGTAAAACGTATTTAAACAGCATATCACGTATGTAGTACCGATTCGAAAACCTTTAGAATTTATTGTTATTGATGGTAATATATTGGTTTGGACGAAATTGTTCGTGGTTTCGAAACCAATCGGAAACGGCATCACCGCGGTGGCCACTGTCTTACTCCGGGTTCTCTATAGTTTAAACCGTCGACAGTTTTCGGATGGAACTATAATACCTATCGATAGTTTTCATTCGAATACTATTTTTCCCACAAACGATTACTTTTATTCGGATAAACAGTATGAAAAAGAAAAAAAAACAACCAACTATTCGTTCTGCGTTCGAAAAATTCGGATTGTGTTATTTTCCGTTTTACACCGGACACAGAATCCGAACGGTCCGATAGCCGCGGTCGCACAGTCGCACGCGCGGGGATTCCGACTCGATGACCTCGCGCGTGACGGCGTACAGAAAAGAAAGAAAAAAAATTACCGCGACTGCATCGAGTAAATTCGGTGCACTCGGTAACGGGTCTCTGGGGAGCGGTAGGGGAGATGGAGGGCGGGCGATTTGCTGATCCCCCTCCACCCCACGGGGTTTTCGTCGCTTTATACATTATTATTATCCGAGTATACAGCTGCAGCAGCCTATTGACCGAAATTTGTTATTGCATTATCGTAATATATTGTACGCATACAGTTGCGTTGCCGGTAAATTTCGGTGTTGGCGAATAAATCTATGGCTTGGTGCGAGGAGAGCCAATGTCACGTTTTGCGATTGTTGGGAAATGGGCTTTGCAATTTTAATTCCTCGCAAGGCTGTGTGTATTTTATTAAATGTAAATGACGAAAATAAAAAATTGTGCACTTTTTCTATTTTTTATTTCTCGAAAAATCGACATTGGCCCTCCACGCACCAAGCCATAAAAATATATTTTTCTACCGCGAAATACGTACCGGCGGCGTTACTGTGACGCGCAGACGACCGAGTGGGAAAATCGCACCCGGAAAGATTACTGGTTGTTTCAACATTTTGGAACCCCTCCGAGATTCGCGAATATTTTCCTGGCGCCCTTAGTATATATATTAAAAAAAAAAAAAAAAAAAAACGTTCGACGGCAGGGGAGTCGAAACCGGCTTAGACCCGGGGTTTCGGTTCAACGTTCGCCGCCTTCCCCTCGAAACCGGGATATTAAACCGGACGCGATTCGATATTACAAACGCGTCTGCGCAGGTATAAGCATATAAAATAGTTTACACCGTAAATTCTCTCGTTCGCACGCGCGCGCGGTTTATTTTTCCCGATGAAAATATGGACTTTCGTCCCGGTCCGTCCAAGGTTCCAAAGTCAATAGTCGCCGTAGTCAATAGGTTTTTTTTATTATTAATCAAATAGCGAAAAAATAATAATAAAAATCGCGATCGCGCGCTCCGAGAACATAATAATATTTCATTTTCTAGTGCGGAAACGTCGCCGCCGCCGCCGCCGCCGTAAAATTGCGAAACGCCGAAAGACGACGGCGACTGCGACTGCGACGACTGCGACGCTCTGGGCTCGGCCTTCGTCGCGTGTGACCTCGAAAACGATTATTTTCGCATCGCTCTTATGTACTGTAATATATAATAATAATATTTTGCTGCTAGTCGCCCGATGCAATTTCGAACATTATCGTCGAACACGGCGTTGCATTTCGTCGTTCGTAATGTTATTATTATTATTATTTATCATTGCGAGTCGCGGTCGGGTCGGGTTAGGTTACCTTACCTGCACAATGGATGCTGCGGATTTTCCGCGCGTCGCAGCGGATACGGCGTCACGACTAAACGCCGCAGCCGTCCGAAAATCATTTCGAATAGGTACGGGCCGAGCGGAGCGTTTTAAACGTCTATAACCGTTTTAGACAAGTCTCCTTGTGTTCGAAACGTTTGATACACGCAAATGACGCGTTAAACGCGCGATTAAAATATTGAAATAACTAACGTTATATTATGATCTGAAGAACGGCGATAATATTATTATTAGGTATGTGTGTACGGTGTTCCTATTCGTTCGGTTGGGTTAACAGAATTCCAATATTATACTAATTTCGAATAAAAAAGTTACATTTTTTTTTTCGGTTGTTTTCTTTTTTTCTTAAACAATTTTGATAAAACTCCGTTTATAATTTACTATACTGTTGTAATACGATATGTTCACATAAAATAATGCTCAAACACACACGTTTGTTTACAATTAAAACCACGTTTAAAACAAAACAAAATTATGTTGTTTTTTTTTCCACTTTACCCGAGGCCTATTTTTTGATGGTTTTTGTACGACCTGCAGGCGATCAGACCCGTCTCCTTCTCCTCGCCCTTCTTCCCAAAATACAATGTTTTCCCTCAATTTTTACTACTACCGCACTAATATGAAACTTAATTAAACAGTACATTTGTTCTGTTTTTTATAATTTCGAGCTCTATAGAATAATTACAATGGCAACAAGCAAATTTTGCCGGAACAGAACTTTATACTGAGTCGATGTACAGAGAACAAAGAAAAAAACGATTAGATATGTATAGTGGTGGATTTACGGGGGTTAGGATCAAGGGCGTTTAGATCCCCTCCAGATACCGATATAGTTTCAATAAAATATTGTGTAAAAAAAGAGCCATCTATTATAAGATAGATAAATCTTTTAAATACAAGGTGGGCCCGAGAAATGGACAAATTTGAAAGTTATAGTTGCAGCACTGAGGAGCTGTTAGAAAGACGATAGTGTTATTGTTAAGTTCATAAGTACCTGCCATTTAGTAAACATTGGTTCATAACGTGCTTTGGCCGTGAAGAAGTATTACAAAAATAGCTCATTTTCATATCAACGGATATGCTAACAAGCAGAATTGCCGGTATTGGGTAAGGCCCAATTACACAATGCGTTGATAAGGCACAACACACTGTAACATTTAGGCTGTGTAAGGGTCGTTCAAGTAAATCACGAGGGTTTTGAGATACCCAATACCTACAATTCTGCTTGTTAACATATCTGTTGATATGCAAATGAGCTATTTTTGTAATACTCCTTCACGGCCAAAGCGCGTTATGAACCAACCCACCGATCCACTGATCCATGTTTACTAAATGACAGGTAATTATGAACTTAACAATAACACTAGCACCTTTCTAACAGCTCCTCAGTGCTACCACTAAAAATTTCAAATTTTTCCGTTTCTCGAGCCCACTCTGTACATACGATTGTTCAGGACCCCTCCCAGAATAATGTCGAAAATCCGCTACTTTCGGTACCTATACTTCAAATTATTGTTCGCGGTATCCGTTTAAGATTTTACATAACATATAAAATAATATTATCGCGACGAATAACGCCCGGATGACGCATATATTGTATGCGTGTACGTTTGACTGCGATGTATACATATTATTATGTTTTTATAGCCGTTGTATAACTGCACCGTAATGGAGATAGACAGAGCTACGTAAATGCAGGTATACAGAGTGTTCTACGACTGGATATAACCCACTATAATATTTCCGGAAATAATAAAAATAATCAAATTCTGGATTTTTTATTACTCACTGGGTTAAGGAATACAATTATTTATATTTCAATACACTTTTTATGTTTTGGTAAAAAAATTTAAAACATAACTTTATTTTGATTATTTTTGAAAAATTTGAAGATAGCCAAATTATAGAGTTTATTCTTCTGAACATTTTGACGTATCAACTTTTTATTTTTATTGGATTCGTGATTTTTAATAATTTTTAAGTTCAGAGAAAAGTGCCTACAATTATGCAGCAGGCTTTAATCGTATTCTCTAATTGATTATTATTATTACGACACTAATTGAGTGCATACAACTTCTTTTTTTTTTCACAAATAATAATATAAAAAGTTATTTTTAAAGTTTTATATCAAAGCATAACAAAAAATTAATTGAAATATAAATATTTGTAGTCCTTATCCCAGTGAGTAATAAAAATAAAAAAAACCCAAAAAACTTGTTTATTTTTATTATTTCCGAAGATATTACAATGAGTATATCTTCATGGGACACCCTAAATAAATCGCCTATATAAATTAATATAATTATAAGGTTAGGTTAATATAATTGTAAAATTTAATATTACATTATAATACCTTTACATTTTTTTGAAAATACATATTTACATTAATAAAAATTAAAGCTGTCCCCCCTCAGAATTTTAATCCCCGGACGCCCTTGAATTAGTACATTAAAAAACTTTTTTTGCACACAATATCCGTAGTAAAAATATGATCGAAAGTAACTTTTTTACGAAATATCTCATTAACAGCCACGAAAATATCTGAAAAGCACTTGGCTCTAGAAAAAGTCAGTGGCGCAGTCGTCAAGAGAGGCATGCTAGGTTCAGCTTCACCTAAAGTTTTGTAGTAAATAATACTGAAAAAATATATTTCTCGGTTCGCCAATATTAGCACATATTTCGTTAGTAATTTTGAACATACCTATTTACGATTTTACATGGGAAAAAAATTCTTCTTTTCTAAGTATAATAATATCAATAATTACTCATTATATTATAGTATATATACCATGTTGATTACCAACAATAAACCGATTAGAAATTTACGAAATAATTATTACGTATTTAAACGGGGGTATTACAGCCGGCGGCAATATTCCGATGACGTCAGAAGGACACCATCCGACGACGTCTCTGAATTTGTATGTGTGTATATAAATTACTCACACAAACACACACAAGCTTATGTACGTGAATATTAAATAAGTAGAATTGTGCGCGCGCAATGATCATTGTGCGCAGCAGTGGATTTTCAACATTTTTCTGGTAGAGGGGTCCTAAAAAAATCATATGTACTTCAAATGTATCTATTAATTAATGACCTTTTATTAAAATTATATCGGTGTCTGGGGGGTCCAGACCCCTTGGTCCACCCTCCCCCAGTTAAATTCTGTCACTGGTCGTGCGGCTCGTTTTTCGTCACCTCTGCGTATGAACAAAACGTATTATCTGTAGTTATTATTGTCACAAAACGAAATGACATAAGATATCGGTACTATGGTCGGAGGGTGACGGGATCGATTTAAACGATAACCGACAACCGTTGTAAATGTATCATTAATTGTTTGACATGTCTGTCTTGTTCGAATCGTCGTTCGTGGTGGTCTGTTCGAATTCATCTGAACTGTTTTGAGTTTTTTGTTTTCGCGTGTCGCCGTTCAATTTATTAAAAATGTACACTATAGTTGTAATACAACTGAAACAATATTTAAATATTGTAGGGAAACAGTTTATTGTAAATTAGATTACATTTTTTAAAATTTTAAAAAGAATCTCGTTTAAAACATGCAGTATAATACATTGATCGGTTTCAGAAAAATATGTGCCTATGTTTATGTGAGGTACTAAGTATTTTTTAAATTTAAAATAATAATTACCTACTGCAGATTACTTAGGCCCAAAGTCAATAAATATATTTACTCCGTCTCTCCGTGTAAATTTATCAACACCTCCTCCCAATGTTATTTTCAGAAAATTAGCCTCACTACTTACAAGCCTCACGAGCCGCAACTGGAAAAAGTCAATTATAAACTATCTAGTGTCCATTCCAAATAACATGGTCAGGCATGTACAATCCAGCCCTCTTAAGAGTCTGACTCTTTGTTTTGTTAATGACCGTAGCAAAAGCAACGTTTATAGAGAATTAAAGAAATATTTTTTGGACATATATTAAAGAAATCGTGCGTTGTATTCGGTAGCGCAATCAAATAGCCAAGCCGAATCGACCTATCGATATTCGATATAATAAAATCGAGTAGTCAAGCCGATTGACTCACCTAAGGAAAGAATTCTAGGTTTAAACATCAATTTTCAATTTTGATTTTTAAATAAATAATAAATTGCGAAGTTCTAAATTAACAACCCATTGGAAGATGAGAACTTGTTCTTTAAAATGGCACCTCATTGATTGATTTTGGTTAAGTTCAAAAGGAGAAAAAAGTGTAGTCACAAAATCTCACCATTGATATACGAACATACAGAATTTGTCTGTTATCAAACGTTTAAAACGTTCGCCGGTCGAGAATTTTCTCAGTGTCTTTAACGTTGATTTAATAATAACTGAAAACACCGCTGAGCCACCGATGCTAACTCATATTAAATAAATTCCAAAAACCGTTTTAAACAATTGACAAAATTGTATGCGCACATCGTATTCCGAAAAAGTTAAACGTGTATTAAGAAACGCGTTCGGTCTCCGGATATTTTTAAATATAAGCGGGTCAAACAACTGCAGCTTTGACATCATTGTCTATTTTCACGGCGCGAAAACAATAATATTATATAGGTGGTACTACAGTGTATATAGTTTTAAACGGTTGTTTCAAGGAAAAACATTATACACTATGCTGCTGCTGCTACAAGGTCCTTGACTTGGACGCCGTCCCCTTCTTATTATAATAATGTCAAACATCCGTTTTAATCGAATCAAACTTTATGTAATTATATAGCGAATACGAGTCAAATGATTTTCTATTGTTTGAACATCATTTTTTTTTTTTAAATTATTGAAATGATTATTTAATATTATGTTAAGAGAATGTTATATCCGTATAATATGCTGTCTCCATCTTATAATAACGTAAGACATAGCAAAAATACGTTATCTACTTAAAACATAAATTGTGGCGTTTAGATTGAAATTGGAGTCTAAACACATTTTATAACAAAATTTAAAGAGACAAATAGCTTCGAGGTAAGTGTAGGATTTTTTTAAAAAATTGTGAAAAAAAAAATTACAGCTGTATTAGTTTTTGAACATTCTTTAAATAGCTAAAATATTTCTGTATGACAATTTTTCAAAAAAAAAAAAGAGCCCTCGAAAATAATTTTCTCGTTCAATTTTATAAATAACAAAATTTAAAGAGGAGAAGAATTTGTGTTTTAAATTCAACAAAAACCTTAAATAAGAACATTTTATTGACTGTATTATCTACGTATACGTCTACGTAAATTATAAGCGAGATACGATGAGTATGTGAAATATCACAATGAAAAAAAAAAAAAAAACAAAAACAAAAATCATTTATAGACATAATGTACCACGATTAAAAAACTTTCAATATATTTAGGTATGTTAAATTGTTTGATTAAAATGTCATTTTTTTCAAGTTATTTAGTATGGGTAATTATAATATTATAGATCTGTACTCTTTATTATATAAATATATATAATATATTTTATATCTAATAAAACTTTAAATATCTGTTCGACTAAAAATTAATAGTGTTTAAACAACCATTAATTTCGTTACGTGATATATCACGCAATATAATTATATATTATATATATATAATTATTATTATATATTACGTAATATATTTACATTTAAAAAGAAAATGAGAGAAAAATGAAAAGGACGAAAATTGTATACAAACGTGGCGACAAAACAAATTTGCATTCAGCAGGACCGATTTCGTGCTGTTAGTTTTAATATCGATGTGAATTGACCGATTATCAAAATAAAAAGTGAAAACATTATATTTTATGTTTTGGACGTCGGCATTTGTGTCCATATTTTAACTTTTAAGCGAGCATTTTTAAATATTGTGATATTTCACATAATACTCGTAATATTATGCCATTTAAAAATTCAAAAGACTGGCTTAGAAAGTTAAGAATGTTAGAGGCTGATCGCTCTAATATTAAATTGTAAAATTGATTCTGCTTGGATGCAATTTTTTATAATATGTCGTACCGTTTGTAAGATGGACGAGATCATAAAATATTATTCGTGTCCTTCACTTTACAACGTCAATTCTAAGCAAAGCAAACCAAAACAAGTTGGTAAGGTATATGGATCAATTTGATAATTTAATATAAATACACTATATTCACCACTAAATGCAACTTATAATGAACCTTGTGTGAAATTGTCTAGTTTTTCTGTTCGACTAAACCGATTTTATATCCGAATAAAAACTATAAACAAAATCTCGAGAATGTTACATTTCTGTGTAAATAACTCGAAAACCGCCAGAATGTTTTGAAGATTTTAAAACCGAATTATAAAAAAAAAAAACAAATCAAAAATAACGAAACTGTTTTGGCCGTAAATGTTCTTATGGTTTTTCTAACTACTATGAAAACTATACTAAGGAGAAAACTCAAAAAAACCTACCAATACTCCAACAAGACGAGATTTGCTTTCGGAAATGATGTTACGCTTGGAAATCTGAGCAAGATTTCCGGTAGAAATGTTGTTTACAAGCAGCAAACAAAAAAAAAAAAAAAAACAATACGCTCTTGGCCGTGTTCACAATCCAAACACAATGATAATTCGTTAAACTATCGATGACAATATTTATAAATAGGCGGTCGATACGTCCTCGGAAGAATAGTAGAAAACTAAAAAAATCGTAAATTCCCTTCGCAGTGTTCTGTACAATATCATATACAAATCCCTTTAATTAATTTTTATTTATTACCACTGCCGAACCGTTGTCAGGCCCTTGACCCAGTTACATAAATATATATATTAGTTAGAAAAGTCACGTTCGGAAAAAAAAACATAGTAAATTTATCATACATAATAATAATAAACAAATGCAATGATTCACATTACCAACATCACCAGAAGAAGCCCTTGATCAGCGTAACATTACCAATGTATTTTAATTTTTCAAATTTTGATAAAAAATAAAAAAGACGGACATACTTCGTACGACGGGTGAGGCACATCTATATGTAACGACAAACCGTTGTTAACGAAAAACGATTAAGTGTGAAATTCGGTCAAAATTTGATATTAAAACTTATAAAAAAAAAAAATAATAATAATAAACTACGCTCAATTTTTTTTTAAACCGCACAAAGTACGAGTTATAATGAACTTCCCATAAAGTTGTCAAGCCTTTCTGTTTAGTCTAACAATTTAATCCACAGAGTATTTACCGAATAAAAACTACGTAAAAAACTCGCAACATTTAAATGACTATAAATAACTCAAAAATGGCTCAAATAATTTGCACATTTTACCATATCTAGGAAAAGAAAATATACGTTTTCAGTCCAAATTTCAAGTCCCTACAAACTGTTTTACCTGAATACAACAAACAAAATTGAAAATAATAAAAGCATTATTTTTGTAAATTTTCCCGTTTTTCTCAACTATTATAAGAACCACTTGGAAAATCAAAACATGGCTTGTTTAAAGTATCGACTAGATAAAATTTCCTTTCAAAAAACGTACTAAATTTGATACATCGGAGTAAGATTTCTGGTAGGAAAGTTGTTTACAGTTTATATATATATATATATACAAAAATAAATAAATATCATTATATACAAGTTACAACCAATACATTCCTCGCTACGCTCATAATCTAAAACTGTAATAAAGCTTTATATCTCATATTAGCTTAATTTGGCCTTAATATCTCATATAATCTCAAGAAATGAAATAATCCATTTTATACAACTTGTTTGTCTAAGCTGATAATATTTGAAATTGATTTATATATTATAAAACATAAAAAAAAAAAAATACAAATATTTTATGCGTCGTGATGTTATATGACTATTTATAATATAATGAAACGACAAGATATTATTATGTATTTTTTTCAAATGTTGGTCAGTGGCGTGTTAACAATGTTTTTGAGAAACCACGGTTCCATCCGAATCAACAAGTACGTCAAAACGGATAATATATAGAGTTGTTTATTGTGTTATTATTGCCACCGTAATGAGTAATAACCAAATATTATAGAATGTAAAGAGTTAAATGGAAAAACAATACAGACAATAGGTAGGTTTTGGTGAGCGTATTAAACGCGTAGTTCAACACGCAACTGGTCGTATGCACATCTACACAACTTGGATAGTATTATCTAGTCAATAATATCCGTCGGATTATTATGATATTGAAATAATAATATCGTTATTGTAGTTGGCGAGTTATTTTTATCTCGAAATCCAAGTCGAGTAATATTTTTTTCGAGTAGAGTACTCTACCGACTCTAATTATTATTTTTGATTCAGCGTGGGCCTGTTATACTGAAATTCCGTAAATTAATCGTATTAAACCGAATATACGAGTATGATAGACTGATTGTTAAATGAGAAAAACACTATCAATTATGTCGGAATATTGTTATTTTTTCTAATTTCGTATGGATATACGAAATTCACATAAAATAATACATAATGACGGAGCAATTTGACTTATACGATCAAAAACGTGTCGATTTAATTGAAAAAAAAAATAAAACATTTTAAACGTGTTTTTTCAGTAGTTATACTATATTATATGTGTATGGTATGTATTAATACTTCAACGCCACAGTGACATAAAAACACAAATATTATAATCGTGTTCCGAACAAACTGCTGATAAAATCGAAAGTGACCTACTGTGTCTTTTTCGTTATCGTTTTCAAGTGCATAATAATAATAATAATAATAACATTAGACAATTTAACGATATCCGTTTCGTTATTTTCGTATAATAATATATTAGGCGCGTTAAAATGTCAAACTGTCCATAAAAAAAACCATCGGCACACGATTGATTATTACGTTGTTATTATTTATTATTATTCATTACGTTTTGCGTACGCTATAGTAATTTCAAAGGTTTTTTTTTAGAGATTACGATATCGATATATGGTATTTAACGTTTTTGTTTCAGGTATTTCTATTTAGGACGAACATGGATATTTTTTAAGGCGATAAGCGTGAAAAGTCTGACGGAATCGCGAATATTAAACAACAGTTAACATGGGTTCAGGTCAGAAAAATCAGTTCTAACCTGTAACTTGTTTCGACAACAAATTGTATACTCGACTCTTTCAAAGAAAATTATCAGTCAATGTAATATATACCGATATTGAGAAGGACTTTGTCGATCATAAAAAAAAAGATTAACTAATGCATTGGACCTACTAATGTTTGGTTTAGTAACTTCAGTTTGAAACTTTGTTTTTTTTTTAGTACAATGTCAGTTATTTTATTCAAATTATTTATTTTATTTACTAATGCAATCTCTTTGGCTCTTAAAAAATGACATGCTCTGTTTTTTTGTAGACGATATAAAAATGTTCACTTGACTTTCATCAATAAACGACTATTTATAACAAGAGGAATTAAACATCTTATCCGAATACTGATGTCAAAAATACGGAATGAGCCTTAATTTAAGTAAATGCTACTCAATGTGTTTTTACACATCCCGTGGTCATATAAGTCATATGTATTTTATAAACAATATTAAACTCAATTTAGTTACTTCGATTAAAGACTTAGAAATAACTTTAATAAGCAATTTAAATTTTTGGGAGTTTCATTTAGCGTGTCGTAACAAAATCTGTAAGTGTATTAGGTTTTGTTATACGTCACTCTTTGGATTTTAATGATTTGCGATCATTTAAAGCTTCTTTATTGCGCTTTATTTAGATTCATTTTAGAATACAGATCGCTTATTTGGAGCCCGTATTCAAAATTGGACAACAATTTATTGACCGCTTCCAAAACTGTTTTCTAAAATTTATTGCATTTAAATTTATAATAAATCTAATTAATAGGTACCTATTAATAATCACGATTACAAGCAAGTCAGGTTCTTTCTAAATATTCCAATTCTTGCTTGTAAACGTGATCTAGCGGATATTTCTTTGGTTTATAAACCAGTCAATGTTGAAATTGATTTATTAATTAGTATCCCTTTAACTTCCCGGCTTACAATAACCGCTAAACCTTTTTGTTTTATATACCAATGTACAGCACAATTTATTTGAAATACTCCTCGATTCCGAGGATTATGGCTATAATATGTAATAGACTTTCATAACAAAAACGGATTTTTGTTTTTCACTTTCAGAGGAAATTTTAAACCCATGCCTAAATATTGATACGTGACACGTGGGTAATACAAAACTACTTTATTTTATTTAAGTTCAGTATCTTTAGTAAGTCTGGAGTTTATTATCTCTTAGTATTATATAATCTCTACATTTTCTCATTTGTACCATTGGGCTTCTGTCCGTTTTATTCTTCTTTTAAATAAATAATATTGTACCTATTGGTTTTGTATTCGTTTTTGTAATATTTAAAGGGTAAAATAATAAATAATCTTTGCAACGCGACGTTTGACCTTGTAATATTATAACAAATTAGAAACAATATGGATATTATAAGTCTCCCGCGACAAAAAACGAATATAATTAAGACGAGTTTTTGTTTCGAATTATAATTTATTTAACGATTATTATGCGACGATTATAGTTTAATAATTGTCGTAAAAAAATAAATACAATAAATGATGCATAGTCAAAGCATTTTTTGATAATCATTTATAGGCGATTACCTATTATAAACTATGCACAATATAATATTACAGTGGGTATTTATCAGAGACGCTCAGTGGGGAGGAACCAAGCGGGAGTGGTGCTTACATCCGCTAACGTAACGTTTAAAACACAACTATTAAAAACCAATATCGAACAATACAATTTTATTTTCAAATCCGTAGCTTTAGACACACAAGGTCCACTGGTATCATTGTAAACGAAATTTGAAAATGTTATGAATTATAAGTATAACTGCACGTGTGGTTTAATATTTTTGGAGGTTTCCTTAACTACGACCTAAATTTAATATTTACTTTAATCGATTACACATTTTCAATTCAAACATCAATATATTATACCTAATTTACTGCAGAGACGTCTCCAGACTTTGAGGGGAGGGAAATTTTATCTCAATAAAATTTAGTCGAGCCACTGACTTTGGGGTGGGAGGTAAATGAAAATAGAATGCAATAAAAATCTAAAACGACAACGGTATTTTCGAATGCCAATTTTTCAAACATGACTTCAAAATATCAGTTTGGTTATCAAAATATGTACTGGAGAAATTCCGGTATATACTATATAGAATATAGAGTAGATAGATTTAATATGTATTACTTCTTGACTATGAATTAACATAGTTTCCAATCACCCAAATTTCCATTTATTCTATACGTTATCGTTATTTTAAAATCGCGATAGGACATGCCGATTTCATCGAATGCCATTAAATTTCAAGCATTTCGGGATTCGCTCTACTTATCGTATGTATATACATATAATACGACCTACAACTATTGACAAATCTGTTTTCTAAATATTTATAAACGTAAAGAACAAATTCAATTTCTGGAGGCTTACATCGGATACAGTGTTGTGAAATGTCAATGCCAATTTCGTTTATTCAAATTTAATGAAATTATATTACTGATCGGATGTCATCGAGTTTCTGTTTGCGTCGACAATTATTTTTTACTTTTGTATAAACAGACTTTTGATCTTATCTTGTATTAAACATTTTTTTATAATATTATGATAAAAAAACAATTCGATTTTCATCTCGGTAAATGACATTTACCTGCGACAGCCGGTTTCGTAAAAGGAGGATAAGAAATCACCATGAATTTTTCCAAAATATTATGGATTTTTTTATTCGCCAACAAAATCATTACTATAGGTTCAATATACACGACGACAGATTTTGTATTATTTAGCGAATTATAATATATTAATGCAGGTTCGAAACTACCCCTTTTTAAATATTACCCTAACCGTCCACCATGTCACTATAATGTCAGATTGCGTTTTAATCGCGATTTTGCACGCCACAAATTTAATATTGCTTTCTAGTATTTTAATATGTTCCATGCGATATTGGGATCTATTTTAGTTATATATGTATATATATATATACTGATTTACAGACGCCTATCTGCCTCCCAGTCGTGTAGTTATCGGTCGTAACCAGACGAACTGCAACGAGGTCGAAAATCGATTGGTTTTTTTTCGCGGGCAGACAACATACATTTTAATAGCCTATTAACGGCCTTATTCCCAATTTTCCTCCAACTTCAAAACTGCAACTGTCCAGGAGAAACAAAAAAACGTTTTCGTCTCAAAGTCCTTGCTTAATGAAAATATTTTTATCGAATCAAGACTTTTTCTCCGACGTAACGATTACTGTGTATTTTTGTCAGCACTTTTTCGGAGTAATATTTTTTTTTCTAAGCCAGCATGCTTTTAAAGGATGCATTTATTTTAATCAAAAATATCATAAACACAAAATATCGTTTTTGGAATTCAGAAATTTGAGATTTAGGCTAACATTTATATAATATGACGGGGTACTTTTATAAACCTGGAATGTACATTTCTGGGCCGCAAAAATCTGGAAAGTAGAATGTTTGAATTTTAGGTATCAATATAGTGCCCATAAAACTATATTTTCGTTTAAATTTAGACATTTTACATTCCAGAATTTCGTAAAAAACTGGAAAACACATATCTGAGTTCCAGATGTGTATGTTATGAAATTTGTTCAATCAAAGTTTTTTACGTGCTCCCATAGGTGTCATTTTTCTGTTATACAAATAATTTAATTTAATATTTTTTGTCTTTTTGACGACGCGCGAATTGAAAGGACATCACGCTAACATATTAATGATGTTATTGATTTTACATTTCGTCATATACATTATACACCAAGTATAATATAAATGTGAATTATAAACGATTTCGTTTTTATTTTTTAAGAAAAAGACTTATGACTGAATCGATAGATATTATTTTAATTTCCTCTGTATCAAATTCCAAGAACTCCGAAATGTGTGCTGAATATTATAAAAAAAAACCGTAATTAATCTGGAAACAAATAATTTTACATAGATATAATTATTATAATTATATTGTGACTACATAAAATCCGAAAAAAAAACCATAATATTCATTAAATATTTTTGTTCGAATAATATTCCCTTATTTTTTTTTTTGAACTCTTCGGTTCTTATTATGTAATAAGCACTTTGAACCTTTTTTTTTCTATCGGTAAGATATGTAATTAAGTAAAATAAACTGATTTTTCATGAACAATTTTCTAAAAAAATTGCTATATTTAATGTTAAATAACATTAGATTAAACAATTTGATACTGGGGACAAACCTACGGCCACTCTTGTAGATGGGTAGTTGGGCAGATGGGATACATACAATTATTTCATTTTTACCTCTAACCAACGATAAACAATTGCTAAACAAAAAACGATTCGGAATGAATAGTTCGGAATAAACGGCTAACCTACCGTGCGGAACTTGTTTTCACAGGTAAGCTAGTAACGAGTAAATTAGTTTTCCCCGCGCCCACAACATTCCGCAGTGTGTACGGCAACCAAAATAAAATCTCAATTAATTGATATTTTAACATCATCTACCGAGAATTTTATTTCGTTTTAATGAAAAACCAATCGCCAGTGAGCAAATAATGATTGTAGTAATATATTATTATAATATTAATTAATTCAACTCCTCGTGTTGAATTTTCGAACGCGCCCCGGAGTAAGGTGACATTTTAAGCCGGGAAAGAGGACGTTTTGATCCATTTTATAAAAATGACAAATACTCATTATATTCTAGCGGTGAGAACATTTTGATCCGGTTTGACACTTTAATTATTTTTCAAAACGGATCAAATTGTCCCCGAATCAAAATGTCCCGTTACCCGCCCCGATGGAGGATCAGTGGATTCTAACCACCTATCTTTCGGTCTTCATCTTGCTTTTTTTCCTTTCCGCGTTTATCAGTTATTTTCGTATTCTGAAAACGATATTTTTACGAAACATAAAGGATTTTCGGTAGATAATAACAATGTTATAGTCTGAAATAGTCTGAAAACTAAAACGACCAAATAATACAAACACTATAGAATAACAATAAAACGATCGGGTATCCGCTAAGTGTATCCCTGGGCGCTGGGCAGCTTCTCGAAGCCGTCGTCGATTAATAAAAGTTCTCGTGTTCCGAAGACATTCCCTTTTAAGACGGTCCAACCACGTTGGTAACCGCTCGCGAATCAACAACATACCTGGTCAGGGCTGCCTGAAAGCAGACTTCGCGGAAAAGTCTTTGACTAGAGACTAGAGTTTAACGGGACGGGGGATTTATCGATTCCGCCGTTTCGATATCAATCCCACCGGATATTTGTACGTCATATCGATTCCGTCGGCTATTGGCTACGAATCGGTATAAGTAATAAATACGAGAAGAATAAACAAAGTTGGAACCTTAAAAATTGAATTTTGTTGATTAAATTAAATAAGAAACCTACTCACGAACTGAACCACTAAGGAACAATTTTTGAAAATTAAACCCCTAAAATAGGTAAAATACGGGGTCAAAGTTAAATTGGTCTAAATCGGACCAAAATGTAAAATGTATACTACACACACTAAACCGTATACAGACATATTATAAAAACGGACAAAATTACCGCTTATACCTATATAAATATATTTTATTGTCGAAAAACCGGCCGGTGAGTAATCTAATAATATTTTTTATCGACATTTACGACAGTATTATAATGATATTTATTAAGTTAATTGGCTTGAAAATTATAATTAACTGTAGTTGAATATAATAATTTTACACGCTATAATAGTTCAATTTTATTCTTATTCATTTATAGGTTTTTAATAAATATAATAAGAGTTATTTTTTTTATTTGAGTGAAGCGAGGAATGGAGAAGCGAGGTTTTACAATGATGTTTATTTATTTTCTTTTTTAAAATTGTGTACACGTTTCAACCAGAAATCTTGCTCCGGTGTATCGAGTATAGCACGTTTTCCGAAAAGAAATTTTTACCAAGTTAGTACTTTAGGGAGGTCGTTCTTTGATTTTCCAAGTAGTTTTAATAATAATTGGGAATAACCGAATTTTCGGCGTCATGATTTCATTATTTTAAATGCTTACGTTTTGTTTTCAACCCGAAATATTACTCTAATAAAAATGACTAGTCATTGTTTTTGTAATTTTAATCTCATTAATGAAAAATTAAGGAGTTTTTGATTTTAATTGAAGTTTTTTTAATAATTGAGCAAATTTATTTTATACGAAATTTTGACGAAAATCATAAGTTTTACAGCCTTTTAAAATATGTATAACCAAACTCAGCTTAGAATCGTTTTTGTTAGCAATAGTTAATCGTTGCGTACAGATACATATCTAATTTCCTTTTATATCCTTTCTTCCAAACTTTTCACTTACAATAGTGGCCCATCCATCGCACGAAATATATCCGTCTTTTTAATTCTCGTTTTAGTCCATATTTGAATAGAAAATATATTTGTATTAAAAATAATACTCAAGTAATATAGTGGTGAATCAAACTATTTCATTTAATACTGACGAAATAATATATGAATATTATATTTAACTCTCATAGCGTGTAGAGGAATTTCATTGAGCATAGCTTACTAGTAAACTTGTTAAATTTAAAATCAAACTTGAAACGTTATAAATTAGAAAAATGTCCAACAAAAGTATAATTCGAGATTTTGTATAAATAGTGCACCTAGGTATTATTAGAATGAGTTACGACGAATGACAAATTATTTCAAATGTACAGTATACGTATAATATTTTTCCTATCGAAAAAATCTAAAAATATTAATGATTAACTGTTACATATAACTGCCATAACTTACTGAGATAAAATAAATAAATTGTGTAAACAAAACTCTCAAACCGTGACTGTGAAAACTGAAAAGCGACTAAATTGCGGTAATTTGTGTTTATTCTGCACGTGACTAAATAAAACTTATGGAAATAAATTTAAAATTATTATTATCTTATACGATACGCGTACGAGTAATTCTATACTTTCAAGAAACAATATCAACAATTTTATAATTGAAGTATTTTTGAATCTGGGCATAGCCGAGAAACCATATTGGTTTTACTATAATGCGTGCTTTTGTTTATGATTTTGTTGTCAACAACTTTCTTATACCAGAAATCACATTCAAATCAAAAAATGAGAAGAGGTTTTTTGGATTTAGTTGATGCATTGAGAAAGTTATTTTTTGATTTTCCTCGTAGTCATTATACTCTGGGAAGAAACGTATAGGAAAAACGGATACATTTTTTTTCCTACCAAATATAAATTATAAGTAGTATATTTTTAGCAAGAATATTTGTCTAGTTGTTGCACACTCAATTTTTTAATTTATCTTGTAGTTTTTAGAACATAACTTGGGAAAACACGGGATGATATAGAAATAAAGGTTACATTCTTTTCAATTAATTTTTTGTTTTTGTTTTTTGAAATTTCGAAATTTTTAAATGAATATTATAAAGGCAGTTCCAATATTTTTGTAAACCTCAACATAAAGTGAGTATCTAGTTCGAAATTGGAAGTGTTTCTCGTATGAAAAACTGGAGGTAAGACTTTGTGTTATAATATAATTTATTTTAAAATTATTATAACATGCATTATATTATATTATATTAAACAACGATTTTTTTTTTATATACCTACTAAACTGTTCTATTTAAAATTTATTACAAATATAAAATTTCCGTTAGGTTAGGTTAGATTAGCTGTGACGTACATTTTTAAGAAATTTTCTATGTTAAGAATGTGTGCAAATACATTTTAAACCCCCCCCCCCTCCGGTAAGAGAGGCTTAGGTACATTACTGACATTACAAAACAAATTATTTTACTTTTAAACAAACACAAAAAACTACGATGACCAAAAGAAAATGAAACTGTCACTTTATGAAACACATTTTATCAAGTTAAACTCTATACTCTATAAAGGAGATGAGACTCCAACGTTAGTTCGTCGATTATCTATGCGTTATCTATGTGAAATGGGGATGAGCTCTCAAAAACTGTCTAGAAATGAAAAATGATGTTTCTGTATTATATGGGTGGCGGATGAGTTTTTTTTTTAATGATTAAGGGATGACAATTAAACTTTAATTTTTCTTTACATAATATATGTCCCCCTCGCACAAAACCCGAAAGGAAAAAAAAATTAATATTGACAGGGTTATTAGCATAAGGATAACACTGTGGGACACCCTTATAATACTGTTATACGATGGCATTGAAAAGGTTTGAAATGAAATCGTTTTGAAACTAAAACTTGTTATCGACGTGCAAATGCTTTAAAAGCATTTAAAAACATCAAAAACCGTTTTCAAAATTAAAACGCTCGACCTAAGTAGTTCGTTTAATAATAGGTTTCATTGAACATATTATAAACGAGTTTTTAAAACCTAATCGCTTCATCAGTTTGTGCGTTGGACGCACGACTATATCGATATAAATGGCTGCACGACAAGGAATAATATTTGACCGTGGAACTGTTATTATACAAATTTTAATGACAACAAAGTCTATAGTCATGTTAAAAACTTGCGGTTCTGCCGTGCGATCTGGTGTGAACAATAATAATTAAATATATTAGATCCGATATCAGTATAATATAGTTAATACGGAATACCGCATTAGTTCGTGAGAAATACACAGATAACGCTGGTGGTGTGAACGTTTGTGATAAGAACTTTTGTCAGTAGCTCGACACAGGCCGTTGCGCAAGCCGTGGTAGTATGATTAATTATTGTTATCTGTTGTTTTAAATAGTCACGTCTCGATTTATATTTTTTATATCCCACAAATCCTTGCATTAAAACTAAACTATACGGTAAAGTATATTTGATTCGATTTAACAAGATAACAAAATTATATTTTAAATCGGTTAAGAAATATTCACTAAACCATTTTCATATTTATGGACATTGGACATACTGTATAAACGGCTACAATAGATATTTAACTCTAAACTGTTTTAATAAATTTAAAAATCATTTAATAAATAGCGCATTAAAAAAATAAACAGTATCTATGTTGGATTTGACGCAAATTCAGTAACGGTGTACGGTGTACCGTTAACAGCTTTAAATCCTTAGTGTAATCAAATACACAAGAAATCGTTTAACATAGGGTACTATAATTACAGAGACTCGGCAATGAATAATGCGTCCCCGAAAAACGCTTATAATTGTCGAATTTTGATGGTACGTCGTAGAGGAGGGAAGTAGTTTGAAAAGAGCACCGGACCCGGTTGAATAATAAGGAATGTTAAAGTCGATAAGAGATATAGTTAACAATAAGGACGATCTATCTTACCGGAGTTGCGGTTTAAACGGAATTTGGAGAAACGGCCTATGTCTATATGGTCTGCTGGAGAGTAATCGTGGGGAGACCAGAGGAATCTTAATAGCGAAAGTTACGTGACATATGCGAACTCACGCTGGATCCTTTTTAGTTCACATTGAGCAGAAGTTGGCAATTTGGGTTTCAAATGGTAGCCGTATAACTGATAGTTCTAAATGTACATACCCCTAACTGATCACCAGGCTAATAGACTCCAAGCATACTCCTTCCCATGCAAAAGTTTACATAATGTTGCTATGGAACATTTCGTTATTTTACTTATTTCGTCATTTTTATTGCATATTTGTTGCACTTATTTATCAATTTTAGAGTACTATAGCCCGGCGTTTCTCAAACTGTTGGTCGCGACCCACTGTTAAGTCACGAGTCAATTTTTGGTCGACCGCAAAAACTGTTTTGAATCATATAGTTTCTAAGAAATGTATGTTTTGGTTTTACAATAATGTTTATTTTTTAAATTTTTATTTGTGAACAACTTTTCTACTAGCAATTTTGCTTCGATTTTCAAATACAGCACTTTTTCTGAAAGTAAATTTTAATGGGATGTTACTTTAAGGAGGTTATTTTTTGATTTTCACAGCTGTATCATAAACTATGTTTTGAAAAGTGAAATCATGAGAGTCGTGATAGATTTTCGAGGGAAAATTTGGGTCGTGGTCCTAGAAAAATTGAGAACCATTGCTATAGCCTATAGAATCATTAGAATCCTATCTCGCAATTAAAAAAATAAACAATTGTTTCGTACCATTTTGTACTCCAAAAACACAACATGAGTACATCTATATACAATATTGTATTATGTGCTGCTAACACATTAGCCAAAGCTCAAACCAGTAATCATAAAATTAACCGACCAACATCGCCCCGAAGGTAACGGGTCTAGGCCAGACCCGAACGCCGTGCCACTGTACCTATAAGATAAACACTCGCAATAACCGATAAAAAAAAGAATCTTTTTCGTCAATTGCTTTTGGCCTATATTAATTCATTATTATTACATAATAATACTGTTTCTGATTTCATAGATTTCCGTATTACACTCATAGTCGGTAAAAAATTAATTTTCGATTATGGAATCATAGGTACATTAGGGACATTAGGTTAGGCTAAATTATTAAAAAGACGGACATACTTCGCACGTGGGTGGGATACTGTTGTAGGTGAGAAGTCAAGAAGGTAGTAGAGGGGAAATTTAATGTATATGTGTACGCAACGATAACCATTGCTAACGAAGAAACGATTCTGAGTGGAGTTTGGTTGATTGTGTTGCTTTGTCAGCAATATATATATATATATGTTATATTATGGTAAAATAATAATTGCAAATGCATTATATATTTTCATATATTTTCCATATTTGTACGCAACGATTAACCATTTTTTTTTATTGGTTTCTCACATTTGTTAAGAAAAATTTTCGGAAAGCTAAAAAATGACCAAACAAAAGTATCACCCCAGTAAGATTTTGTTTCAGAAAATTTCCTATCATTGTAAATCGGAGTAAAATCGCTGGTAGAAAAGTTGTCCACAGAAAAGAAAATAAACATCATTGTAAAACTAATACATTTCTCGCTCCACTCAGAATCTAAAACGGATGTCGGATATTATTATTTTTTGTCCGCATAATTGACCTTCGAAAATTAAACGAATTATTATGTTTATAATTCAGTAATTTTCCGAGCACGTGAAATGGACCACTCCCGCGTTGTAATGCGCAGTCCGTCTCAGTTGATCGCTGATGTTCCGAAATAAATTTTAGAACAGCACAATATCATATTACAGCGATGATGAGTGACAATCGCAATCGTAATAATTATAGAGATAGGATGTTAATGACTTTTGCATATTATTCTCACTTTTATCATATACAAAACAACATACGTACATTTAATTTTCTATTTTTTTTTTGTTTTGTAAAATTTGTTGATATTCTGTAATTTTTTGTAATTCGTATACATCGTATGTCATTATTTTTTCTTCAATTTTATACTTCAAAGAAAATAATATTTTCATTATAGTGGAGGAGTGTTTTTGTTGCGATTAAATTTACTACGTATATGCCTTCGCGTCAACAAACTTTCAATTTTTGTTTGCTGTCATAGTGTACCAATGTTTCTGGTATATTCAGTTCTCGATCTTTTTAACGCCTCCTTTAGAATCAAAAGACTCAAACCCCCTCTCGCCTATGTGAAATCCCGATAATTAAGAGTATGGGAAACAAGTGGAGGACGGCTTAGTTGAAAAATGTTAAAAAAAAAACAACTGGAATTTCCAAAGATAAAGTAAATATTTTTTTTAACGTTTATACAAGTGTATCCTTTATTGATACAAATTTAAAATTTAAAGAATACCTAAAAAAGAACTTAATTTATTTGCACGAATGAAGCACAAAATATATTATACGCATTTTATGTGGAAATACGTCGCTACTGCCGTCCGAAATAAGTTTACTGCCCCTACACCCTTAGTACCCCTTCACCATCCCTCGACGGGGGAAGTTGTTATCGCTTCCGTTAAGAATCACTGTTATATACCGTTATTCACGGTTAGTTTTTCCTTACTATAAAAAAAAAAATGCGAACAATTTCAAAAAATTAACTATTAAACTCGGATTTTGACTGCATCCAAGTTCCGTCCGAATAATAACCTTTTTTATACCGATTCCATCCCGGTGGAAAAAGTGTGTATACCAATTTCGTCCCTAATAAAAAAAAGGTACACTAAAAAAATACAATATTACTACCTATATCAGTTCAATAAAAAATAATAAATCCAAACACGTAGTCACACCAATAATGACTGGAAAGTTTAAAAATCAAATAGTATTATCTTTATTTCAAAATAATACAATATTTTTAAATTCGATTATTTAGTGCGATAACTAAAAGCAATATATTCTTTATTTCTAAAAATATAAAACTGTTATCGTTTAATTGTAAATTGTATTAATATACTATATTAATTAAGTGTAGAAAATGAAAAAAGGGACGGAACTCGTCTAATTAAATAAATTACATGGAGTGGAATTTCCATTTTAAAAACCCGGAACGGAAGTAATAAAATATCTTTGAATTCAAATTTTGCGTTTGGAACGGAACTCGGATGTGGCCTGGATTTCAATTGACTATATAAAAAATCTCACCGGACACCCGGCGACGCGGTTTTTTAAATTAATGCGATTACTGTTTCCGGTCGTAATTATTATAAACAAATAAATCGCCGCGAAATTAACTAATTGCGGGACGGAGGAGTGGTCGCGCGGTAATCGCAAAACCAAAATGGCATTTCCGGTAAGGGTCGTTCGACTTACCGGTTGGCGTACGTGGGCGGCGGCGGAGGCGGAAACAGGGATCCGTCAGCGGCGGTCGGCCGCGAGCTGTCGGCGGGCGCGCTGATGATGACCGTGGTCACGGCGGTCGACGGGTCGTCGGAAGTGGCCGCGGACGGCGACGTTTTGTTCTTGGTGGCGGTCGCGGCCACGGCGCGGCTGGCTTTCCGGCTCTCCCGCAACAACAGGTCCAGCGAATTGCCGATCCGCCGAACGCACGTACCGTCGCTTTTGGACGGGGCCGCCACGGAGTCCGTCTGCTGTTCCTCGTTCAACATGTACTCGCGTATCTTGTCTTTGATCAGGGACGTGACGCACACGCTACCGTCGCCGATGGCCATGTCGCCAAGTCTCAGCCAACCGGTCGATTCCGCCGCCTGGGACGGTGAAATCGCGGCCTACAGAAAAAAATAATTATTTAAAAACGGTCTAGTTTCTTGTGAATTCTTATAGCAAAGTATGCATTTTTACTACGGTGTGTCTTCTTTTAGATTCTGAGCGGAGTGATGAGGAATGTAATTGTTTTACAATGTGGTGTTTTTTTTCTGTCAGCAACCTAAACTAATCTTACCTAACCATCGGCAATTTTGCTCCGATTTTCAATTAGTTATAACACTTTTTCTGAAAGGGAATTTGATCGGACTGATACTTTAGGGAAGTCATTTTTGGTGTTTTTTTTTTTTTAGCTATTTTCATAATAAACGGGGAAAACCGGGAAAAAACTTAGAAAATAGGTACAATATTAAATAAATATTATCTATTAAAGGAAAAATAAACCGCAAACGTAATTATATTATCATAATATGACATATATATTGTTGAAAAAAAACACTATTAATCGTACTTCGCTCAGAATCGTTTTTGCATGATTAATCGTTACGTACATTAAATTTCCTCTCTACCTTCTCAACAACAGGGGCTCACCCACGAGTGGAGTATGTTCATCTTTTTTTAAATATTTTTTTCTATTTGTGAACACCTTTTCCACCGGAATCTTAGTACGAATTTCAAAATAGTATCTAGTCTATTTCCGGAAAGTAAATTTTGTTTAGTTGGTATACATAAAAGGTAGTTTAAGTTTAAAGTTTAAGATCTCGTTTTTTATTTTGTTTTTTTTTTTTTGGTAAATATCTGTAGATAGACGATATTTTCACAGAATACTTATATTAGTTTTTTCTGTCGTGGTAACATTTTTGATTTTGAGTTATTTATAGGCATTTTACATTTTCAACGTTTTTTTTTAGTTTTTATTCGGTTCCTATGTATTTTATATACGGATAAAACTGTTTGACCAAACAGAAAAACTTGAACATTTAATACAGTTACAGATTGTACTTAGTGGTAAAAAAAAAAATTTGAGCGTTACATAGTTATTTTTTTCCATACATGTTAATGATAAAATTTTGACGGAAATCATGAAAATTACGGCATTTTAAATCGTGTTTAACAGTACTTCGCTCGGATCCGTTTTTTTTTTTTTTTTATTACTAACTTATTACCTTGCCAATAAATCGAATTATTAACGTATGAGTGAAAAAAAAAAAACACTGAAATAAATAAATATTATATTACAGTACTAATTTGTGAAAAAGTAAAATTTATGGATATTCTCTTTGATGTTACGGATGTTAACTCATAATTTTTGTTCGTGGAGGAGAGCGGGGTATTTTGAAAATGTTACACTTTTACGCAACTATAATTATTACAATAATCGATCGATTAATTGAAACGGGGGCCGATTATTTTCATTTCAAATAATAATGTTGACCTGCTTAATTTCGCAGGTACCTATAATTTCCAAGGTAATTTTCGGCTTGCCCAGGCAACGATATTACCCCGCGATAAGGTTAGAGTTCAATTTTTAATGAGACACGGACATGGTTAAGATTAATAATATTACCTACGCACGTGTATGACGTGTTGTTATCTATTGTTAATATCTTAGGTGACAATATTGCGAACTTTACACGTGTTCGCCCTTTGCACTTTGGTATAAATCAATTTTATATCGGATAATATTAATGGGCAATATTATCACCGATCGTAAATCGGATATAGGTCTCGCGTTCAATAATATAATGCCGGGTTGAGAATACATAATAATTATATTTATTTCGTTTCACCCAAACACATTTTAGTCATTTTAAAATTAAGTCGCCGACGGTTTAGGTATAACAGTCGTAAACGTCCATCGCAAACTATTATTTTATGAAAATTTTCTACAATACACATTATACACGCTTGTCTGCGCGAAAATATTGTATTAATATAATAATATGTACATTTAAAAATGTCATATTAAAATATCACACCACTATTTTTTAAATTTCTACGAGCGCTTCTTACAGACTCATATACCTATAGTGGTTATATTTCACCGGATCTATACAAAGTCGATTTTTTGAAGGGAGGTGTGATATGTCTACATTGAAAAAACACTAATACTTTAACACATTTATATTACCCAAACGTGGATGTAGGGGTACAGGGTGTCCAGAAACCCCAAAAAACCCCTCTGGTTGCGCCATTGATCCTTCGTGTTTTTGGTACTTTCAACGTTATTAATATTGATATACGTTTTGTGTGTGTGTGTGTGTGTGCCTGTGTGTGTGTGTATAGTATTTAACCAACTTTTTATTGACAGAGAATCAAAGTACAATTTTTTATTAAAATACGAGCGTAACGGTTCACGCGCATTTATCATTGGTTGAATGTTCATATAATCTAAGATTAAAAACACTGTCCTCCGAAATATTTTCATTTATTTACACATTTATTTACTATTTCGTTAAACGCGTGTTTCATTTTTTTTTCCCGGAAGTAAAATTAATATTAACGGTATATAATACACACCGTGTTATTCATTCAAGTGGATACACTCATATTTCGGAAAGTATTAACTTTTTCTGGAATTTGTTTTCTAGAAAATTTAAAAAACAAGCAGCTCTACAATTTTATATTTATGTTATTTTTTGAGGGTAAAACCACCACGTCGATCCATTGATGAGATATTCTACTTTTAAGTTTGGGTTGGAGGAGAGTAATGGAGTATCATTTGTGAGGCAGTACGGCGTGCGGCGTGTTAATAATGATTAATGCACCACTACTCTCCTTCATCCCAAACGTAAAAGTGGAATATCTCGTCAGAAATCAAACATTTCAACACTAAAATTTATTTTAACTAATACTCCATCTATTTATGGAATTTTTAATATAACCTGCTTTTTGAAAATCAAAAGTAGATAGTGGTTTTACCCTCAAAAAATAACATAAATATAAAATTGTAGAGCTACTTGTTTTTTAAATTTCCTAGAAAACAAATTCCAGAAAAAGTTAATATTTTATGAGATATGAGTGCACCTACTTAAATGGATCACCTGCCACTATAAGGTATATAGTATATATAAATACTTATATAATGACCATTTTTTTTAAATCATAGACATACAAAACATTTGCTCAATGAACCGAGCACAAAATTGGAACGCGACATTCGTATAAATGATAACATTTTTGATTTCATCATTCGCCAATATAAATGGTTAGTTTTTTGTAACATAAGAGGTTTTTGGTGTATTTAGAGCCATATGTGTTTCTTTTATGGTAGTTGGGATAAGAGAAAAAGCTTCACGCCTAATTTCATGATCATTTTAAGTTGAATATTTTCTGAAAACAATTTTTCTTGGCTGTATGTCCAGATTTTCAGAAGCTTTTCGTTTACACGGAACACTTACTAATTATTATTGGTCGATTTACTTCGGTATCACCGCATGATGTATGATTATGTTGGAATTTAAAATGTCTCCTTCGTTCGTCTCTTTAGAATTTGACGTATATAATTTATTTGAACACGTGCGCTTTATACACGGCCAACGAATTTCGTCTGTACTCGATTTTTTCGAAGTGAAACTATATGTGTATCGGTTAAAAATCACCGTGTTTTTTATCTCGCTCACTTATCGTAAACACATAAGCTACGGTTCAAACAAAACGGGCTTTAAACTTTTGTTTGAATCGTAGCTAAATGGTTCCTTAACTTTAAAACTTTTAAAACTATACACAACTCGGATTTCGATGAGGGAGGGGGGAACTGCTAACTTCTACTACTACGTCTTGTAAACACTGAACTGATAATATATATCAGTGCGGAAACTTCTTCATTATAATAGTCGACTAACCAATGTTGATCGACCACATTTATCCAGACAGCGAATCTCGATAGCGAGATGAATAGGAATATTATAATATTATTATTTACTTATTCATATAAACATTTACGGGCGTAGCCCTTGTTTAAAAGTACAATATACATAGCAGTTTTAATGTTATACGACATTAAAGAAAAAATATACAGTAAAAGTAAGTAATAAAGGTACACGAAACAAAATTTTATATTTCATGGACAGACATAAGAAAGGAGAGACCCGCATTGGCGGGAGATATTAACCGCCAAATAGGTTCATTACACACGTAGTTAGTGGCAGAATGTGGAATTAAAAAGGAAACGAATAACCTAATATTGCGCTGGGGAATCTTAAAATGAAGCAAAGAGGTGAGGACATACGAATTCACATTATTATTTGAAAGATCTTTCATGAAGTTTATACCCGCTAAATGTCTACGCTAAGCCAAAGATGCTATCGGTGATCGTCGGTAGATATTTATTACATGTGACCGCGAAGACGACGAACGTATAATAAATATTGTGTTTCGCATCATTGTGGTTATATTTTAAAAACCGTAGTATAAACCAACAACAAGTATAGATAATATTGTATACGTTTTTAAATCGTTTTGTTTTTTTTTTTTTATTGTGGTGTTTTGCGATTGTTCGAAACCTTATTTGATTGCCAACTTAAAATGTGTTTTCGGCGAAACGGATCCCGCCCGTTATATTACTGGAGAGTGTTATTGCTGCATTGAAACAATTCGAGACGAATAAAATAATATGTAAGTGTAGGTAAAAAAATGTTACGTGTCAGCCGAACGAAAAATGATGAACCCAAGTCAGTCGCCTGTGATATTAAAACGTCACAATATCGATATCATTACATTTTCGGCTTATTCGGACAAAACGATAATATTTTCCCGACTAGGGGATTTGTATTTGTATTTTTTTTTTTGTAAAATATTTGACATCAGCGAAAATCAGCAGTAATCGAGTACTTTTTCTACGGGTGTAAACAACGAATACACAGGGCGCATGAATTAACAAATTCCTATGAGTATAGGTACGTACTTGCGTAGAAAATTGTCAAAATCTGCCGAACAGGTCGTATTTAGATATTTTTTTTAGAGGGATTGTGCTTCGGAAAAATGTATATTTCATATTAGTAAATACTGAATTTAAGTTTTGGCAGGTAGTAAAAAAAATGGCAAAAACAGTTCCATTCTTCTGTAAGAGGATCAAGTCCGTTCCAATCTTGAAAGAGGGAGCGGGCAGGGTCCAGGCCCTGGGCCTCGCACTAAAAACAAATTATAATTATAATATAGAAAAATACGAAAATATTTTAAATTTCGCCCAAGGTTTCACAAATCATAACAACGGTCTGAGAGAACGCCACGCCCGTATTTGTTGTCTTCACAGTGGCGGATCCAGAGAGGGGATGATCGCCCTCCCCTCCGTTCACTTTGAAATATACTCTTAGTCCTAACATATTATGAGTTTGATTTTTATCATAAATCTGAGTCTTATATACATTTTCAATATCGTCCCTATTCCCGGTTAAAATAATTTTTAATTTTTAACAAATACCTATTCAACTATCCAGGTATACCGGCTAAACCGACGTACGAAAAAAATTAAAAAATCTATGAAAAACAAAAAGGAAACCTCTCATGGGTTATTTGTTAGAAAGAAAAAAAAGTATTCAAACACGGCAAAAAGTATAATAATATTACGAAGCCGTACAAGTATGATAATAGCAATATGAGGGTAATATGATGTTATCCACGCTTATACCCGATTAAAATTTTAAATTATAGACATCAAAATAAATAGGATAATATTTAACGCTATTTTTTTTTTTGTCAGTATTTTATGAATCAATAAATCGTATGGATAATTAGATAACAATGGATAAATTAAAGCCATCCAATGAACTAAGTTTTCCATGAGGCACATGTCGAATGCCAAAATGGAAGAAAAATGTCAATATCAATAAAGTGGTTGCAAGAAAAATGAGGAATAGTTAGCAATATTTCACAAACCGCCACTGCGTATAAATAACTTACTAGAACTTCGTAAACTGCTTGCGACCATAATATTTTCACGGTTCGTTGAAACGAATTTGTTACGTTTTCATCATTATAAGGTTTTGTTCCATTTAAAATAATATCTATTTTGGAGTATGGTTTCATTATTTGGAGTTCATATACTAATTTAGAACGTAATCCAATCAAAAGAATCCAAGATTGTTTCTAAAAATACGCATTTATCAACCTGTGCGCGTTTATTTAGACCTCCTCACATTGGTCACTAGACGTAAAGCAGTGAATATGACTTTTATTTTCAACCTCATCAATGGTTTTATTAATTTCCATACTTATTCAATTTAATCCAAATTAAAATTCCTCAGCAAAGATACCACATAATATTCTATATTCCAACTCACAGTATAGACTGCCAAAAACTCACTCCTCAAGAGTAATGTCCCTGTGTAATAACCATCTTAATATCTATTTTTTACATGACTCCATAGTTAACATTAACTAATCCCTATTGTCTACGTTATTAATCTAGATACACATCACGTTCGCTGTTTTTTATTATTAATTATTTTTTATATTATTATACTTAAGATTACATGTTTTTTCTGTGTCCACTTAAAATATGTCAAAATTGGGCTTTCGACCGTATTTATTTATTTATTATAAATAAGTTATTATTATTATATGAGGTGTATTTTTTTCAAATTTGTTTTTTCTGTCTGTAAAACAATTTTCGAACAGAATACTTGCTTTAAACGAAAAATGATAAGAAATCTTTTTTATTACGTTTTGAATCTATTTACTTAGAATGAAAGTTATTTTTTGATTTTTTAAGTAATTTTTTATAAGAATTAAGAAACCTCAGGAGACAAATAATAAAAACGAATATATTTACGGCGTTATTATTTCATTATTTTAAATTTTTACGATTCGTGTTTTTTACCAGAAATATCGTTTTTCATATTAAATCGTTTTTCGTTTTTAATGAAAAACGTTTTTAAAAAAAAAAAAAATGCACAAACAAGTATCAATTATTTCAGGGGACAAAATCATTTGGCAAACCATCTAATATGATAATAAAACACGCGGACCACAGTTTGGGTACCACTGGTCTGAAATAATGAAAGAAAGTATCACAATCTCTTACGGAACCCTTACACACTATTAGTTAATCAACTTGAGAGGGACTATTTCATTAACTGAATAACACCTTATATTTAAATGTATGTGTGTTAAAATTTACTATACTCGTATTCAATTTCGATGTTATTGCGATATATATGTGAGAAAATAGTTTTATTTACATTTTAGTTCGTTTATAAGTATGTTATTTTAGATGCGTTTTTGAATTTATGTTTCGATTCTGAGTGCAGTGAGGAAACGTATTGGTTTTGCTAGATGATGTGTGATTTTTGGTGCGTGTGTCTATGTACAACCTTTCGATCGTAAATCTGGCTCCAATTAAAAACGGACAAGAGAGATTTTCATAGCATTTTGGTTGTAATTGGTGCATTGAGGTGGTCTCAGTTTTTTGATTTTCCAAGTGTAGTTTTCATTATAATTGGGACAAACCCGTAATGGAAAACCAGACGAATTCCCGCGGCAATGAAAGTTGCATTATTTTCAATTTTTCCAATTTTATCTTTTTACCAGAAATCTGGATCTAATTTTCATGAGAAGCATCTTTTCTGAAATAAAATATTGTCTTATTTTTGGTGCGTAAGGAAGTCTTTTTCTGATTGTACGTTGTTTATTCACGTGATAGTTTTATTTAAATAAAAACAATTTAATAATAATACACGAATAATAAAAAAATGTACGGATTATTGTAAAACGTATCGTGATCCTCTTTTTCCGTCGTTATGTTCCGTGGTTATTTTATATAGTTATAATAATTATACGTGTTTGATGTACATGCGATTACAATAATATTGATTTTGGTGAATCGGGAATTATTTATTGAAATTCAATATATTTCGGTACGATATCGTTGGCAATATTTCAATATACTGCAATTATTGGAGTGTTTTGATAAAAGTCTAGTGATATAACTAATTTTACATACGTTTAATTTAAAATTATTATATTTTCGCTCAGGATAGTTGTTATTTTAAATGTTGAAATATTATTGTGTAGCCTTCGAAATGGTAAAATACCGTTCTCAAACATCTGCCAGAGTGGTTTCGAACCAGTGATTCATAAACTATCGAATACCTATGTATACAGCGACTCGTGAACTTGAAGAACAAAAAACGTGTTTTTTTTTTAACCATTACTGTCGTTTTAAATTATTATTTTTTTATTTTTTTGTTTCGCCAAGGAACGCGAGATATTCTTTATAATTCAGATAACTGACCAATAAGAAAGTCGACAAGTTGGTGTAAACGTTTTTTCGTCGGACGAAAATATTTTTTTGTTCTTCTACGAATTTAGTAATAATATTATCAATTAGTAGACAAAAAAAAAAAACAAAATTCTAAAGTGTTTTTACTTTTGGAGGTACTCGTATGTTATTATGACCGTTTCCGATTTCGACGGCGTACGTGCCTACGCACTCCGGTCCATCAATTGTCCAGCCTATATCGTTTATTGTTACCCATATGAGTGTGTAGGTATATAGTGACCCAATTCCCACCACGTACATGTTTTTCGTTTTTAATACTAATCAAATGCCGCGAGAGAATCGAAATCTCGAACAGTAATGAAGATTTTGTTGTTTTTTAATATTCTAACCGATTTGAATGTATACATCCAGGGGGGGGGGGCGGTAGCGAGAGACTCGATTATGTTGAAACTCCGGAAATTAAAAAAGAACAAAAAAAAAAAAAAATGGTATTTTTCCAATCAATTTATATCCGTTAAATTAATCTCTGGACATTTTATTTAGTACACTAACATTATTATACGTGCTTCCTCGACAATTATTTTTACCGTTTCATCAGTCCAACTAAAACCGGTGAAACAGCCTCCGAAATTAGGTTATTTTTTATGGAATTGGATTAATTTGAAATCGGGCGTTTAATCACGAATGACGAAATTTAAAGAAGAGAATATTTTCTTGGGCGCTTTTATCTGAAATATTTTCGATCGAAAACAAAACAGCCGCTCCAGTTTTCGCCTATTTAAATAACTGTTGTACACATTATTTTTCTTTTATATTAATACCTAGAGAAAAAGTCCAAACTAATTATTAGAAATATATTATACATTATACACATAAGTCACTCATGCACTTAACTATAAGAATATTGTAATGTAAGGAAAAATGTGAAAATTGAAGAAAAGAAGAAGAAACGAAGATTCGCGTCTACGTTTCTCATAAATAAGAACTAAATCCCGTTCCACGTGGTTTTATTCTAAAAATAATGCATTCCATTCTTCGTCCCTAAAAAATGTATGCGTTCCTTACCAACACATTGACAAAATCGTACACACTCGGGATCGCAAAGTGCAAATAAAACATAATTTAAATGTGACTATTGCAGTATGCGTGCAGTGTCGACGTGCTCGGCACATTTAAACATAGTAAATGCAAACGACGTACGTTATTGTCAGCAAACACATATACGAGTACAACCCTAACAACATAAATTAGAAGCCGATGTTGAACAGCTTACGTGATTTTTGTTTGTTTCAACGCGTTCAATTAAACGACGAGGGGGAGGGAGGTGGAAAAAAATGGAAAAAAAAACCCATCTGTCGCGGCGAGGACGATGGTTTTTACGGTTTAAATCGTCAAACGAACAATATATTAAATTCAATATACTGTTTCCACGGAAAGACTGTACTGTTATTATTATTATCGTTATCTTATAACCGTAATCTTAACGGTCCGGCACGATATTGTTCTGGTATAGATGATTGCGCAGACAGCGGTATTTAATACCGTCATAACGAATAATATTAATATAATATTGCACCGTCCGGGGGACCGATATCAATGATTCACTTTTGTCTACCGCATTAGAGACTGTTGTCGCCGATGTCCTTGAGTTTTTTTTTTTTTTTCATGCCGAGCAAAACGGCGTCTGCTCACGTGATTATCGTTTTTAATTTTTTGTTTTCGATACATATTTATAGTCATTATATAAACACACACACGCGCACGCATGCACATAGCCGCGTACAGGGTCTTCCAAATTATGTGTTCCACGGTTTCGAGAGTGGGCGAGCGCATACGCCAATACGGCGCACACGCGCCACACTCTTGAAAACGGGCGACGTGAGAATTTGGTAGACCCTGCGCATGTGTAGCCGGAATTACCGTCAGACAACAACGGCGCTCGACACACCACTGGGTTTTTAACGGATTGCCAACAATCCGAATAAAACCTCGCGGCACGCTTTTCGGACTTTACAGGCCCCGCGATATCGGTGGGCAGGCACACGGTACTCGTACCGCCGGTGTACCGCGACAGTGACGCAACCGGAATTCTTCCAAGGTGGTCAAAGACATCTTGCAATATCGCCACAAAACCGTTTGCTCCGCGCCATCGAATTTCCGATTAAATAAACGGCGATTTGTGCGCGCAGGTTTTTTTTTTTAAATACATACGGTGGGATTCAAATGACAGGGGAGGGGTTTCTAGACTAGGGACACACCCCCTCGGCCAGTTCCACGGCACGATTTTCGTCTAAAAAACAGTCGAGTATTACTTTTTTTTTTAAACTCGTATTGTTGCGCGTTGTATTACACAATTGGCGCGTTTATTTTAATAATATTGTTCTCACGGCAGCGACGACATTGTCATACGATGCGCTTTTTATCACCAAAGGACATTCGTGTATTATTTTTGAACTGTGAGATTCACAGTCGAGGCGGTTTTTTTATTTAACTTGTTGTTGACCGACCAAAGTACAAATTACGGCGTTCGTATTATATATTTATAAATAGTAATATATTTATCTTATACACGCGTAACAAAATAATGTGGAATCTTCAAACGTTATTAAATATAGCATTGTAGCCTCGAAAAAATATTTTCCGAGTGATCTACGAACGAAAAATCACGACCATTGAGTATTTGTGTATAAGTATCTGTGATTCTTTACTATAGTTGCCCGTGGCAATATGAATGTACGTAAATAATAATTAAAAACAGACGTATTTCGCGCGTGGGTGGGCCGCTGTTGTAGGTGAGAAATTAGAAGGTAGGAGAGAGAACATATTTTAATGTATATCTGTGCGGAATGATTAACCGTTGTTAACGAAAAACGATTCTGATTGAAGTTCAGTTGATAGTGTTGCTTCGTCAGCAATATATATAGTCGTATTATGGTAAAATAATTGCATATGCATTATATAATTTTTTTAATAATATTTGTTTAACATTGTACTTATTTTCCCGGTTTTTCATTTTTTTTGGGGGAAAACTCTTTGGAAAATCAAAAAATGACCTCTCTAAAGCATCTCCGAAAAAAATGTTAGTATTGTAAATCGGAGCAAAATCGCTGGTAGAAAAGGTTCCACAGAAAAAAAAAATATTATTGTAAAACCAATACATTCCTTACTCGACTCAGAACCTAAAAAACACACAAGCAGCAGCAAAGTTCCGTCACTAGAGTCGTATTTCCCACCCATCAGATGACCTATTGCCGTATTATATTCAATGTTTTTTTTTTTTATAATGATAAGCTCGATAATGAAAAAGTTCGAAATTGGTTATAATAGTTTTCAAGATTGTTGCTAATATACAAACAAACAATGAGGTTATGGGTTAAAAGTCCAAGCCTTCTTAAGGCACTTCCTCAACAACAATGCATTATGTATTTATATAATGTACATATTTTAACCAAGTGACTTACTTTCATTTGAAGGTGAGGGTATTTAAAACCCGGTATTTCTTGTAAAAACATGAAAGATATGAGCATAAAAAGCCAAGTAAATGGCATTTGTATATGCGTGGTGTACGCATCAAAGATGTGCCTTTTAGTGGTTTCAACTATTAACCTGTTCCCCAACCGTATCAGATTTCAATGTTTTCGCAGGAAATATCGGGGTTTAAATACCTTCACCGACTCATGTACGTAATTAACTTGGTTATGATGGATAAATATGATAATAGAATCGGTGCCTTTAGATAAGGTTTAAACTTCCAACCACCGATCCCACCGTATATGTTGTACGATTTCGAAACTCCCGAGAATTACTTGATAGTAACGGTCTCAAGTCATCCTAGGGGTAATCCGACTCTAGCGACGGAGCTTTGCAGCTCAATTTTTTTTTTAAATATTTTTTTTCCGTCAACCATCGCAATCCCCTTAAACGTCATTTACCTGTAATGGGCCGGTTCCCGTTGGGGCGTTTTTCGCGTAACGGTTGTCCGAAATCCGTGTGTGCCCGGCCGCCGCTGATGACGACGACGAAGTGGACGGACGCATTTCGCGCGGCAACGGCTTCCCATTTTGACGCGCGCACATCGGCATGGCGGCCGCGTTGTACGCGTTAACGTCGGTGGCCTCGGAATCGGCGCTCTTTGGCAGGGAAGACGAATGGATCGCGTTACGGGTGCTGCTGCGTTTCCGCGACTTTTGGTCTCCGGTTTTCGGTACTTTTTTCGACTTTTCGATGCGCAACCGGTTATTATACGCTGTGGTGGGTGGCTCGACGCTGGTCTTGGCCATTATAGTGAAAAACACGAACTTTCCGTGTCCAGTGTGATTTTTTTCACGCGTCAGACAAAACGGTCGCACCGACAGAGGGCGGCAGTAGTCGACGCGTGAACGCGTTGTAAGAAAAGGCCTAAAAACATAAACAGTCATATAAAAACCAAATCGTTTAACGTATTGTGTTATGAGTACAATTTTGGCATTTCGCACTTTTGCGACCGCCAAATCGTAAAATCCATGTTTGGAGGTTCGAAAGTTTGCGAAAACGAGCCTATAAACTATATAGTCTTATGAAAAGAAAAAAAACTAGTAATAATAGTTTTATTAAGGTATGCGAAACGTTTGAATATTATTGCGTGTCGCAATAGTCGCGTATACTTCAATAAAAATGTATAGAAAACACGAATTCGATTAACTTCAAGCGTACAGTTCATTATTTAATTCCGATAGAAATCGCGATTGAATAATTAATTTTTAAAAAAATATTTTCCTTGTTAAAATACTTATAATATATTTTGTGTTACATTTTAATGCCTGTCTAATATGTTTTTTTTTTGGGTAAAACAAACACAATCGATCTTTTATTTTATGCATTATGTTACAATGTCAAAGGTGGACGCGAAGGTCGGTGTTGTGACAAACCGCAGCAACAATATGATTACGATCGGATCATCGACCAGAATATCAGCGCCGTTCGTTCAGATATTATAAAACCTGTGTACAAACCGTATAATATAGGACATAACTCATCCGTATTGTAAACAGTGACGTGTCCAGGAATTTTCAACGGTAGGATACGCGTAGTATATATTAATCGTAAATAAACGTAGAATATTGTCTTCTTTATCTTACTCGGGGAAAAAGACAACAGACATTTTGATAGCCGGATTCGAAAAACCGACTATTAGCCAATGGGTGTATTAAAATCGAGCTTTCGCTTGGAACTCGGCTAAACCGAATATATATTATGTCCATATAAATTTGAATGGTATTTTTTTTGTAACTGGTAATCTCTGAAACTACTGGACCAATTTATGCGTGGTTTTTCGCGGAGAAGGTAAAAGCAGTAGGCCTAATAATCTGCAGTAGTTTTTTGTTGGGTACAAAATGATAATTATTCGTCAGGTACTTTTCATTGCTTTGCGCCCGTTACAAAAACTGATTGGTATAAGTTTGAAATGAAAACTAGAGAAAAAACTTTTTTTTTTAAATTTAAAGGCAACAACTGCAGTGATAATGAAGGGAATTGAAGTGGGCGAAAACGTTTTTGTTGCACATTCGTTCCAAATTATTATAATATATGAGTAGCAGTGATGACCAACCTTTTTTTACAGAGGGCCATAAAATATAATAATATAATACTTGGCGGGCCAAAAGTTGAAACTTTTACTTATAAGTTAATAGAATATTATATTTTATTGTAGGTACATCTATTAATACATAGGTACAGTGATATATTTAATTATTTATTATGTATTGATTGTTATAAATGAGAAAAAAATGTAAAGTATAAACATTAAATATATATATCTTTTTAATGTGTTTTAATTTTTGAAATTTAAAAGTTATTTTTTTTTCAATGTTGATTTAATACTTTGGTGGGCCGATTGATAAATTATCGTGGGCTGGATTCGGTCAGCGGGCCGTAATTGGTCACCACTATATTACAGACTATAGTAATAAACTCGACTATAAAATAATATATTTTAATGTTTAATTGCGAAATAATCGACGAATAAAAATAACAATTTTGAAACAAATACGGTGTATTATACTGGTTTATAACAGGGGTGGCTTCAGAGACTTGATGGGAGGGAGGAGAGAGGGGCTAAGTCATATTTTTCAGAAAATTGTACAACAAAAAGCATATTTTATAATTTATAGTTTATTTATACTTTGTAGTATGTTATATAGTAGATACCTCTAACTACACACATGTACGTGTCTGCAATAGTCGACAGAATATAATTTTTTTTTTTTTCGCAAGTTGTTTTTAACAAAAATACGGATTTGGGTTAGCACCCCCCTGGAGCCGCTTCTAGTTTATAATACAGCATTTGTTATAATATTATAAGAAAATAGACGGACGAGGCTTTTTATTACGTTAAACCCGACTTAACACCTACTCTTCAATGGAAAATCGTCGGTTTAGATTTCATTCCAAAACAAAAAAATGATCGAATTTGATCGATAGTTTTGTTAGCAAATAATATTTGCATACGTGATATATAGTAGGTAGCGTGCTTGCAGTATTGCAAATACGAAATAGAGCACCGAAAATAAGCGTCGAATTACCGTGTATATCATGTACACCTAATAAAAAAATAATAATAATAATTAAAAAATGTCAAGGTCACTCTACGCGCAGACACAAAGTCATTATCAATTATTATCGAATAGACTACTGCTTTTAAACGCATCCGATAGTAATATAATAATATTTCGGTGCCCGTTACATAATTCTGTAACAGTTTGTTGTCCGTGTTTTGCTGGGTTAGAAAAAAAAAAAAGAAGAAAACCGATAAACTGATAAACTGTTGATGAATTACCCGTCGGTCGTCGATTTATTGAAAAAAAAGACCGTTGTTGCTGATGCGTGTGCCACTGTTTTAGGCGGCAAATTGGAAGTATATTATACGTTTAGAGAAACTTACATTTTTTTCTGTACCCAGTAATTAACCATCGCTAACCAAAAATGATTCTGAGCGGAGTATTATTAGTCGTACTATATTTCCCATTGTTGCAGCTAGTGGGAAGAGAATATTTTTACATTTTTTTTTTTTCCAATGGAAAATGTTTACAACTATGTCGTTATCTGCAGTAGTCTTATTATATTCTGGACGAAAGCTGCTGTTCTCCGATAATGACTAATAATTAATTTTTATTCCGACGGTCAGAGTTACCAACCGCGAAAAAATGAAATGACACATACTTAGCAACCTGAGGACGATCCATGTTTATGCGTGGTAATAATATAGATAGTAAAATGTTATTATCTATGAATGAGAATGCTAGTTAAAACATACGAACTTCTAAATAGCAACGACCACTATTGTTCAATGTTTTCGCTTTGGAAAGTTATAGTTTTAATTTATTTTACTATGGATAGGTACTTAAATAAAATGCCCAAAGTCATCAAGCCTAAACAACTAATTTTGGAAATACTATACGTTTACCAGACAGGATGGGCGACATGGGTGTTTTAGCGTTAAGCAACATATTGTACACGTAAAAATGTTTATGAATGTTGGCGTAAACTATTTTATTTTATGAAGCAAACATAAATGTTATAGGTTGACCACTACCACCCAAGTGTTATAAGACAGAGTCATGGGAATGAAGTCCTCACACACCGCCCCCCCCCCCATCATCAACAATTTACCAATCCACAAATCTATGCTTTAAGTCATGGTGATTTTACATTTTATGAAAACTAAAAATTAATAAAATTAGACACTTTATATATTTTAATAATACATAATACCAATTTTTTTTATTTCGCTATCCGTCAATACAAGAGGACACTGGATTAATGACCAAAATGATGAGCTATCTAAAACATGTGACATTTAATCGACAGAGTTTAGTAGTTTGTGGGATTTTTTTTTTTAAATTAATTTATGTAATTAACAAATCATCAACTTAATTTTATCTTCTTCGTAAAAATTGTGATTTATTGAAATGTTTGTTGGTTACCTTAACACTGAATATTTAACACATGAAAGTTAAAATGAATTAGTTAAATATAATATATTAACTTAATATAAATATATATATACTTTATATTAATAACAATGGACCTTTATTTAAACAACACAGTATCAGTTGGCAATAATTCATATTTCTATCATGGGGTACTACCACCCAATCGGCCTTGAGGCCATCATCGCCTCATGCAATATCCTATCGCGCCACCACTGGGCGTATGGCCTTTGCGGTATGGGTGTGAAGCTAGTGTATAGTTAAACCCATAATTTCAGAAAAATTAGGCTCTATCGAAGATAAATCGATGAGAAACGGACAGAAAAAGAAATTCTCCGATTTGGGGAATATTCTCTAAAAATATTATTACAGTAGTTTTGCATCGCTATGAAGTCGCAGCCACCGGCCCAAAGCGGACCAGAAAACAAAAAAATTATCCGTACAATTGTCGGTCGTTTCAGTTCGTTAAGAAAACTACAACAAGGAAAGTAAACAAAAAAACGACCTACCCAACGCGCTGACTGTATCAAAAAAGTTTCTGTAAAAGTGTTGGCAAACGGTAAATAGAAAAGTTGTTTGCAGACGCAGAAAAAAAACACACACGCACACACGCACATGATACATCGTAGTAAAAGCTATTGATTCGCTCGGAAACTACGGCGGCGGCGCGCGGGGGGGAGGTGGGAAAACTCTATACGTTATTATGTCTTAATTGAAAAGCAAAAAAAAGGAAAAAAACGCGAACACATACGATGTTTGGCTATTAAATAACGAGACTGCACGCGCAGAAAGCGTCCCAAAAAGGTTAGGGGAAAACCGAATACAGCGCTAGTTAGCTGAAAGTGTCTTTTATGCCAGTACAAAATTGAGTTTTTGTTGGTGTATTAGTATTTTTTCTGTAGCGTTTAGAAACGAACATGTTTTTTTCTCTTGCCGAAAACGATGTGCGACGAAAAACATGAACAACGGATAAACGTAAAATTTTCTCGTTAAACTAAAAAAAACTCCAACTGAGTGCTATAAGTTGTTAAAAGAGGCCTATAGTGAGGATTTCCTATCTCGGGCGCGTGTTTTTGAGTGGCATAAATTATTTTCTGAAGGTCGAGAGTGCACCGGAATCCAATTCAGTCGTAATCCAAATTCAAAACCATGCTGATCGGTTTCTCCGATATCAACGGCATCGTGATGACTGAATGGGTTCCAGAGGGTCAAACTGTGAACCAACATTACTATTTGACAGTTTTGGCAACATTGCGCGAATGAGTTCGTAAGAAACGGTCGATATTGTGGAAAAACAAGTCGTGGATCTTGCACCAGGATAACGCACCTGCCCATAACGCGCTGTCTGTGAAGCGTTATTTGGCCGCTTAAGGCACTCCAGTACTCGAACACGCGTCTTACNCTTACTCACCCGACTTGGCACCCTGCGACTTTTACTTGTTTCCGAAGATAAAGTCTGCCTTAAAAGGAATCCGGTTTGAGTCGATGGAAGAGGTGAAACAAAAATCGGCGGAACTCCTGAATGGTCTTACGAAAACAGACTTCCAGCACTGCCTCGAGCAATGGAAGAAACGAATGAAACGGTGTGTGAAGAGGGGAGGAGAGTATATTGAAGGGGAACATTTGGTTGTGGAATAATTTTTAAAATAAAACCATTTTTCATAAGCAGTCTCGTTATTTGATAGCCAGACATCGTAGTTACGTCGCAGTATAAAAATATTGTGTACGTTTTGCTTTTTTTCGGTTTTTTAAGAATTTCACCAGTGTACAGCGTACCTATATAATATCGCAACAGTAACGGGTACCTTTGAAATACGGAAAAAAAAAAAAAAAAAAAAAAAAAAAACGCAATAACTGTTTCGAGATACCGCGACTGCCGCTACAATTACACCGCCCGTGCGACTATTAGGAATTGTTAATTCGTTCGAAACAATATTAATGCCGTGGTATTATGATGTGATACCGCGCCATTGCTCACGGCCGTGCGCGAGTTAATGCCGAGATAACGATTATTATAGAAATATAACATATTTTTTAAACCGCGTATTATCATTATTATTATCGTTATTATTATTATTATAATATTATTGTATTGACCGACGTCGACCTTCAACTCGAAACGACACATACGCGCGCGCGCGTTTCGAAACGTTTCCAACCACCGACGGACGGATTCGAAATAATAATAATAACGTTCGTTTGTAATCTACGTTTTTGAGATTTTTGCGTTATCGGAAATAATATTATATGTACGTATACATATATATAAATATAAATATTATAATATTGCCTGTACGTTAATATTATAATATCGTAATGTGTATATCTTTACGGGCTTGTATGTAATCTTGTCGCAGAACGAAAAAAAATAAACTGGATTAGTGTTTCGCAAAGTACGCGATGGAACGACGACGACGCTTCGTCGATCAAATAATAATAATAATAATAATAATAATAATAATATTTCCATTCGGCTCCGATTCCGTCGTTCCTAACCCGTATAAGTGAAAATCGCGTCCGCAATCGTCTCGGTCGAACCGCACAAAAAAGAAAAAAAAAATCGCGCGCAGTCAAAAATCATTCGACTTAGAATCAAAATCGTGGCGTTTATGTTGAATTCGGAGTTTATGTATCGGAATGCAATCGATATACGCGTAGCGATGCGATTTGAACAGTGGTGTTTACAAAATGAAAAAAAAAGTATTTCGGGAGGGGGGGAAGGGTGGGTTAAGGATGTACACTTTCATACTCTTATAACAAATAAGTTTACGTACTTTCGATTTTAGGATTATTTATTTTTCATTGAAAAATGTCAATTTTTTATAACTTTCGTTTTTAGCTTTTTAGGTACCTATGTATTACAAAATTGTACGTTTCATATTTTTTTAGTGAATGCAGCTTAAATGATAACGTAGTTCATATTATTGTGATGATAACGCGGACTATCGATTAGGTATCGGTTATAATTTTCTAAAAGCAGGAAAACCGCAAAAAATTAGAAATGACAATAATACCAGTATATACCTATACTATCTAGTAATAAAATAAAAATAACACCAAAATTGTGTTTATCTTCCTCGTTGATAGAAACCACTTTTGAAACTACATCATAATTTTCATGTAATTTTGTGAGGGGGGAGGTTGAACCACCAAAACTTTTACCCCCTTGCACACGTGCTCGGATAAAAAAAGATCAATTTTCTCTTTTTCGGGGAAACGCGTGTTGCTTGTACCCCTCCCCCCTCGAAAATATCGCCAAACAAAAAAAACTGCAAATATAATATGATATTATAAAAAAAGCAAAAACCAACGCCTATTTCTATTTCTATTTGATATAACTCTTACGCGTTTGACGATTTGTGTAAGTTACTGTTATATGGTATTCAAATTCTGATTTTAGCGCAAACGCCACGATTACATAATTTTGTGTTGTGTCGTCCGTTCAACAACAATACAATACAAATGTTCTACCAATCCGAATGGCTTTGCTAAATAACGAAATCCCCGTTCTATGTTTCCGACGATACCCTCCGTACCAACAGTTCAATAAACGTTGCCGAAACCTTTTTACCATCGATAAAACCATCGGAATCTTTTTATCTCCGAACTATCCTTCCCCACTAAAGCGAACGTGGTGTCGCGACCTATTGGATAACTTACTAACTTTTGCTACCACACGCCATGAAGTACCAACACTGGCCGGCTACTTCTCTCAAGTCTGCCGCCTCAATATTACCTATTGTTACTCTGAAAATATTATTTGTACTTATTGTAAATACGCGTCTGTTATAGATTGTACAATTGAAATTAAAAAAAATAATAATAATAAATGTTACCCATTGTTTAGGACTGTAAATGCGGGTATCGCGACCTCTGAAGGAAACGCCACGCCCGCATCTCCGTCTTCGTCTTGCGTAAACGCGACATGGTAAATTTTCGTTCGGTTTAAGGCAGTCTGTGTGTCGTTAGTTTTATTATTAAAGTGAATTAACCTATACTATACCAAACTTAGAGTTTAGAGATGCGAGCGTTTTTTTTTTTTGATATTTTAATTTTCAATCGACATGTGAGAATGACAACTATCACGATTTAAAAATGTTTATATCTTGTTTGTAAATTAAAATATCAACAAAACAGATAATGTTCTCACAACATTTAGGTCAATCCACTCTATATGTTAAAACTGACGGCGAACATAATTTGTCCTACTCGACGCAAATTTACTATGTCGTGCGTTTGTAAGACGGAAACAGTAGATGCGGGTGTGACTTTCTGTTTTTTTTTTTTTAAGGGACTGAATGCCAACACTTTCTCTCTTTGTCTAACTCATAGATTAATAGTATGACAATATAGACCTATTTTTCCTTAAACCGGTCCGATCAACGTAGCGAAGCGATACGAATATTCCAAAAACAGATTTGAATTCAGCGTGACGCGTATCGTGAGATCATGTAGGTCATTGATCACGATGAGATCATTTGTTTTGTTACACATTTTCGAATTGCCGTTTTGGAAATTAAGGACAGAAACTTGACAAAGCGGCCCTATGACCAATCTTGTGTACGCTTCACCGATGAATTCAAATCTGTTGTCTGCGGAATTCTGATCGTCTCACTAGATATCGTCGAAATCGGAATGAACGAAGGAAAATCGTTGATCTAAATATTGCAGTATAGTAGCGTACGTGTTAGATAAATAATAAAAAAAAGCTGTCTAAGGATAATGGGGACGGGTAAAACCACTATTGCAGGTGGGAAGTTGGGAAAGTAGGATACTTAAGGGAATTTAATGTATATCTGTAAGCAACGATAAGCCATTTTCAACGAAAAAACGATTCTGAGCAGAGTTCAGTTGATAGTGATGCTTGTCAACAATATATATGTAATATTATGGTTATATAATTAAATAGGCATTATATATTTTCTTTAATAATATAATTTGTTTAATATTGCACCGATTTTCCCGGTTTTTTCGATTTTTAACATTTGTTGAGAAAACTTCTGGGAAAATCGTAAAATGATTTTTTTAAAGTACCTCCTTTAGAAAATTTTTTTCAAAAAAGGGTCTACATCGTACACCTCGAGGCAAATTTTCTTGTATAAAAAGGTTCACATAAAAAAAAAAAAAAAACCTTTTTTTAGAACCAATATATTTCTCGCTACACTCAGAATTTAAAAAAGATCGCACATCCAAAATCAAACTTTTGAGCGACACAATTGAACAGGTACTTTATAAGAGGAATTCCTCCTCTTATAAAGTACCTATAACATTAAACGTTGATTCGTCGTAAGAAGGCGGGTAGGTAATAACATGGTAAATCGGAAATTACGATAGGTTAGGTTAGGTTAACTTAACCTAACTATCCGCAGGGAAAAAAAAAAAAAATGCGAATGTCGCAAAAAAAAAAAAAGGACTCAGGACGTACCAGTAATAATATCATACCGACTCCGAGGTCTGAAATTTAATGTACAATTTTTTTTTTAAAATTTGGATACTGATTTGCATTATGTATTTTAATGATAATAATATTATATTAAACGCAAAGAGGTTTAGCGAGTATCGTGTATGGCAACCGTATTACTTATATTATTGCAACCTCGACGGAAATGCAACCTAAATAATATTATAAACGCGTATACGTATACTATTCTAACGTATAAACAAACGGTATTAACGAGTAGCGAAAAACGAAACCGAAACATAACACACAATACGGCTCCTTTCGACAATTATATTATTATACTGTACCGTCGTATAATAATATTCACACACCCGAAAACGGAAATTGTACGCGCGTATTATTTATCATGTGTAAGATTTCCATTTACGACGCGACCATATCCGAGAAATAAACAAAATCAAACGACATAAACATTTATGGAAAATATAGCATTTTTCAAGTGTTATACGGTTATTATTATTTAAAAAAAAAAAAAAAAAACACATCGCCCGACGATCGTCAAGGCCGGCAGTAAGTCTGCCCGTCGAGAAAAACGTTCGAATTATAGCAGCAGTACGGTTTTAAACGCGCGCGTCGGATGCAGTATTGAAAACGGCGGTTTTTTTTTTTTGGACGGTTTGGGATCTGTTTAAAAAAACATTACGAAACGAACGTTTTCTAATATCCTAGGGTTTTCTAGTAGGTTTATCGACAAACTCTTCGGCAGACCAAGGTGTATCACGGACTGTTGTATAGACGTTTCCCTTACGGCGTTGAAATACCCGCCCTCCGTTTTCGTCCGAAATGAAAAATCGTTCAAAACATAGAAGACGTTGGGCGGCGGCAGCGGTGATGGAGTTGAACACCCGATATCCTTCCACGACATCGCCGATTTCGATAATAATCTACGATATATATTATGTATATTATTCTACGATTTTGATCGTGTCTTACAACAATAGTAATAGTATAATGTTATAATATATAATAAAGGGCGATTCACTAAACGTGCTCACCCAATTTTTTCGGTTAAATTCTGCATATTATGTTCTTGTTTTGATTTTTGGAATTTTTAAACGTATAGTTAAAGCCGACATTTTCGAATGCTTAGATTTTTCACAACATTTAATGAGAGTTAATCCTGTGATGATACCTACTTTGGTTTTTCAAACGAGAACCTATATTAACAATTTCATAAACAGACGGAGTATTGGACTTTAAATAAATATTGGCGTTACAATTTTTGATTTCCGTCAACTCGTTGACGTGATATTTGACACTTTTAAGCTTAGGCGAGGAGAGAGTAGTACCCATGGGTGGAATATATACACTCGGAATCCTATAACGCGCCCCTTTGTAAAAGACAGATTAAATATTATAATAAATATTAATATGACCCGACCACGCCAGTGACGGTAACATATTATACTAACACGAAACATAATATACCCACCCTCTTCCTAAACACGTACCTATACGAGATTTGTAGATTAAGGGACATGTGTTATATCGGCCGTCCCTGCATAAAATTCAATCACCCGTTTGCCGCCGCCGACCCCCGTTCTTTCCCGACGCAAACGCGGCCACGAATCCGTGATAATCAATAGTGTACGCGCGTATGCTAAGCATAGAACAAAAAAAAAAAAAAAAAAAAATGTACACATCGTCATACAAAATATTGTTGAAATACCGACGAGTACGATTGGCGAACGCGATAAACGAGTATGATAATAGTATAAAAATTGTTATCGTTTCAAAACGTGAAAGAGGGTGCTTGTGGGGGAGGGGAGGGGATATACGCGTACCGCGGAGCGTTCGGCGGCGTCGCCCGATCGGAAAGGCGAGAACTATGTATAATTACATTGAATGTTAATAAGAATACCTGTATATGTGATGTTTCGTTTCGATATGGACAGTAATACGGATCGCGTTAAAAACATTCGCATTGAAAAGCTAAAGGACGTATTCAGCAACAAACCGTTTAAAATCCCCAAGAATCGTCATACGTTTTGCGGAACATTGACGCACGTACATTTTCGATTGAGGAAATAATAATTTTCTTTTCATTCCGAGACAACGATTTGACCGTTGTTATTTACTAAAATCGTATTCCGACTGTACGACAAACGATATTGGACAGAACAGAACTCTAAAACGCCAACAACGCCAGCGTGAAACCCTGCCGTCCGCGACTGACGGGGATATTACGTGGATCGCGTAATATTTGAATAGGATACTATTACAATGTTTCGAAACATTTGCGGGTTAATTGTATTTGCACTGTTTCTACTACGCGAACGATATTATACTAGGAAGACGCGTGATTTGGAGAGAGGAGGGGGCGAACACACACCGCCGGCGCCGCCGCCGGAGATTTTAACGTATCCCGAACGTGCGACAAGAAATAATCGGGCAGTGTGGTAACCACTATTATACACGAAGAAAAAAATAAACGACCGATTCAGACGAAAAACTGGTGGTTCCGGTGGCCGCCGCGCTCTCTGGCGCCCGTCTATCGGACTCGAGCAACACTACGGTATCGTTGGTTATCGTCGGTTATCGACAAAAAAAACCTTACGCGGCCCGCGACATTGATAAGAGGGCGAAACGCAGCGCCGTTACGCGAGCCGCTGTTTGCGCGAGTTCGTCTCTGTACCAATCTGCGGAGGAACTGATTATTTGCGTACGGAGTCGAGGGGCTGTCGGCGGCGCGCGCTCGTCAACTGCGTCTAATTGTTGTGACGATGGCGATAAAATTGTCGCAGGTGGTCCGTTAGGCGGTACCCGCACGGTCGGATTTTAGGGGGACCGTCGGCGACGACGACGCCGGAGCCCGCGGCCCATACGCAAAAACACGGCCGGCGCAGCAAGTGAGGAAGCCGCGTCGTCGGTCGCGGCGGCGAGATCGATAGCGAAACGTATAATATTGGCCGCGGTGTGCTTACAAAGACAGCGGCGGTCCGCGTCGCTCGAATACGATAACATTACAATAGTCCGCCGTATCCGGGCGGACGAGACCGGACCGAACAGCCGGTCGCAGGTAAAGATAAATAGGAAAAGACAAAAAACCGTCGTTCTTTCGGACGGCGAAACGAACGGTCGTCCGGCCCGCCGGCGTGCGCGATTAACGGCCGACGGTTGACAAAAGCCGCGTATTATTTAATGTGTTATGATTGTGGTACTTACGCGGAGGATTCCGTCGGCGGGCTCGGCGACGATGGCGGACAACGGACGACGGCCAGGAAAACGGGCGCGCGCGGCTACGGACGACCGGACGTCCCTGCGGGGTCACGGGGAATCGCGAGCGACGCGGTAGCCGCACGAGCCGGCGGCCGGGCGCGACCCTATAAATACGCCGCGGTATTCCTCCGGCGGCGGCGGCGGTGCACACTGTCAAGGACGGGGCCCCGTTCGGCCAATCGCCTGTCGTCCGCTCGGCGGCCCGACCGCCCGCCCGCCCGTGATCCGTATAACCTTGCGGCGCGGCGGCGATCGATGCGCGGACAGGCGCCGTGAGCGTTACGGCTACGCGCGCGGTCGTGACGACGCCCGTCGCGCGCCGCGCGCTCGCGCTCGCTCCCGT